ACATGGAGCGCTTCCGTTCATCACTGAGTTTCAACATTGCACAGCCGGGCGGGCAGCTTTCATCGATAAAATTAAAAACTCCCATTTGATTCAGGTATAAATGCACTTCGAAGTTGCGGGGAGATAATGCTCTAACCCCTTGATATCTTCCATCCACGAGTTTCAGAGACGAGATGAAGCGTGGCTCTAGGCCTTCCACATGCTTCAATAACTCCTGAACCACTGAACAAATGTTTGTTATGGTTTTATAAAGCTCGGTTTTCCGCCTGTGTACCCGGGTGTTGACAAACTTTTGTAAACTCGCACGGCGTTCAGGAAATACAGAAGCCATAATTAGTAGGAGTGAGAGTACCGCATGCGATCGGCACTCCGATGCGTTGTCTGTTCGACGGATGCGTTTTAAGGCGACTACTTTCCAGTCTGTAGTATTAACGTGACAAAGTTGGACCAATTGAAGCTGTCAGCGGCTATTAATCTCTGGAACAATAAGCAGGACCGACTCTCCACCAATAAAATACCGGGGGTCAACAATCTTGAGTAAATTATGGGCCGCGAAAGAGCGCAAATCGCGACCACAGCTGTCCCTCACTAACGCTGAACTCTGTCCCCTTCAAAAACAAGCACTTAAAAACAAATTCTCCGCATGCCTAGAATACGTTCTTGGAAAAATTCAGCAGGTAAGGCGGTCGCAATGTTTTCAATTTTATCGGCTAAACCAAAGCCCTTTTGCATCTCTTTGCTGTATGCCGAGTCATTTACCTATCTTATTAAACTTTCTAAACACAGACCGCCCACCGCCTGCGTGTTATTGCTTGCGATATTGAAACTTTCGGCGACTGTTGCCTGGTTTAAAACATTAAGCTATCTATTCCGCAACTTGAGATATTTCTCAAAATGAGACATTGACTAACACATGAACAATCGTAAAAAAGGAAGTCGCATCCCAAAAGCTATTTCATACATTGCAAGGTAACAACCATTTAAAATCATTTTTACCCGATTTTCATTGTTTATCACGGTTTTAATAACCGTACGTTTATTACGTTTAAAACAATTTGTCTGCGGCGAGCACGAAAAGCAATAAATCGAGAACAAACAACGGCGACAATAAAGAAAAGCACGAGAAAATGACAGCGATATCACAGGGAAGAGGAAGAAGCCGGCAGGTGAATTTATTAAAACGCACGAGCTGTTAATTTAGGCTTTCAAAAAGTCTTTGGACTGTTCATCACAATTGGCTGTTATAATTTCGTCGCTGTCGCCAAAAGCTGCGAAGTGCAATTTGATAATGAAATCCTAATAAACATATCAACACGCGTTTAGCACCTCGTCTTGAAAGTGTGTGTGTGTTCAAAAGCCGATAATAGCTGATAAATAGGTGACAAGAAGGAGAAACCTTAAGCCTCCACAATAAACAAAGTCGTTTCTAATTCACAGTTAAAATATTTCTGCCTCCAGGCTAAAGGAAAAGTTCATAATGTTAGAGTCAATTGCCCCTTCCCGACGTCAAATTGGCGTAATTTTCCTTCATTTGAATTTGTCAAGTCTACGCTTTCGGCAGCATTTGTATCAACAAAAATAGAGCATTCATCTAGCACCTTTGATATCACAATAAATACGAGTCAGAGTAATTGCGATTAAATTTTCCTGCGAATTGTTGTTTACAGTTTTGCATGTAATTTCTAGGCTCAACTTTACCCGCACTACAAACCAGGTTTTAATAAAACTGGATCACCGACACCTGTTCCGAATTGGAAAAAGGGACACAAGTCATCTACTCATTCTGAAAGAGCACAAAGCATCCACTCTAAAAACATAAACAAAAATGACGAAACATGAAATAGATTCTCTAATAACAGGTTAACTAGACCGAATAATAGCTTGTTCCCTCGAAAAAGCATTCAATGAGCATTATTTGTTGCTGACGTAAAGCCCAAAAGCCATTGGAAAGCCAGCGGTGACAAGCTGTCAATCGCTCGACACGCCGTTTGAAGTTGCCGCATGCCGACTTAGCATAATCAAACAAGGATAACCCATAGCATGAACAAAAAACCGACAGACCTATGGATTTAACAACATGGAAAATAAAAACTGCCCGCGGTGAACAGGAATCAAATCAAATTAAAGTTAGTTGTAAATTAGGAAAATCATGAGCACTAACACCGCAATGACAATTTTCAAGCGGAAGGCACCAAAAAGAAAAATCAGTTTCAAACGAGAGGAAGAGGCTTTTCATTGGAACTTAAAGCTATATCGAGTTGATGTTTACGCGAAGTAAGAGTTTAAATCATAATGTTCGACAATGGCGAACAAAAGCCTCCGACCTCGTGCAGGGTAGGTGGGTAAATTTGGTTGGCTGAACTAACTTCAAAAAAACAAGCTTCAAACATCGCACCATAAATTGACCACAAATCATTAAGTGACAAGCTGGACACCTCCTTTTTATGCAATCTGTATTAAATAAAAAAAAAACTTCCAACATTGACTTAACATTCAACGCTAAGTAGAACCAACAGCCAGTTACCAACGATAATACTTGAGGGAAAGGTAACGAACAGAACACGGAATTTTTTTTCTGTCCAATCTTCGAAAGCGTAATTTCTAAGATAAAACCAAAATACTTCGATATCAAAGTTTACCCATAATAGGAATAAAACAAGGCACACGCTTATTTTTTAATTACTACATGCGGCACCATCAAAGCTTTTAAGTAAAATCAATAAGGAGAATTAAAGGCAAAAATCAAAACAATTTCGTGAAACTCGAGGGGGGCAATAATCGGACGAAGTAATTAAATTTGTCTTCCAAAATCTATGATTCAGAACTCAATATCCTTTTTTTAACCCAAGAGGTTGTTAAATTGCCGGGCTAACATTAAATCCGCGTAGGTAAAAGATCTCCCCTCTAGAAACCAAAACTCAGGACATGCCAATCGCTTAAACCCAGAAACTCAAAAATGATAAGGGAAAAACCTAAATAAATTACACTTAATGTAAACTGCTTGCGTTTTGTTAAAATCACGTAGCGTACGGAAAGAACTTATCATCAATACGCTCAACTAAGAAAGGCGCGGATAACAGTGGATTGTTTAACCCTTTAACTCCCATGAGTGACCAAGACAGAATTTCTCCTTACAATATCAATACAATATCAACCAGATAAGTGATGAGAATAAAGAAAAACATCAATTAAGGGAAAATTAGTTGATCTAGTACTAAATTCTGTGAGCTAACATCACAGAGAATTTGGACTTCAAAAAGTACGGAACACAAGAGTCCTTTCAACTGTAACGTTGATGGAAAATGGAAGATCTACAACTCGGGTTAAATAGATGAAAAAGCTAAATTTACTTTTATTTTGCTCATTTCACAGATTACAATAAAGTGAAAAGAGAGATAAACAAAAAAAAAAAAAAAAAAAAAGTAACCGTGAGTGGCAAACGTCTTGGCACGCTTTCGTGTTTTCCCGTTAAAACGTATTAGAATTTACCTCCTTCTTCCCAACCCTCACAGCCGTAAAAAATGTGGAACATGGGGAAAGGGAAGGGGAAGGGGAAGGGGAAGGGTTTACATACTACATTAGAACTTTCAAAGTCAAACGAATTTGTTGAGGAGAGTTATTTTCCTCAGTGTCCAGTACTTTCGCCACCCATGAGAACTGAACAGACCTAAAAAATATTAAACTCCCCTAATTTTAGTCAAGGGTAACCCAAACAATAGGCATTGGGTTGTGAGAGACAAACAAGTGAACAATTACACGACAAAAATAAGTAATACATAGATACAATATCTTTTTCTTCTTTTCTAATCTATGGTAAACTTTCGACTGATCAACACAAAGACCACGCAATACGAAGTAATTTTTTAAAAAGGGAGAAAACTAATCCTCCGTTTAATCTGTAGTCAAACAATTAACTACCTCGGTGTCGGTGAAAGAAGAAGATATTAAACTCCGATCCAGTGGTAACTTGTCAAATAAGATTTCCGATTACTGCGAACGATTTCCGATTACTTCCGACGATTTCCGACTACTTCCGAAAATTTCCAAATATCGTCGAGGACTTCGAAAGAGACTCGAAATTTTTGCACGTCGGGAAAAGGTCACGATGTTGTCAGAGCATTTTGTAGCGCTTTGCAAACTTTAACAACTTTAACCTGGAGGAGAATACTTCATGCTAGTTTGACAGGCTAGACGAATACAAATTAGGGCAAACGGAAGCAAAATTCGTGATGCTATAGAAAATGTTGTTGTTCATCAAAGTTTGTGGATAAATGAAACGTTTAATCGTAGGTCTTACGATGTAGAGTCAGTTTATCAATACAGCCTCTTAAATAGTACTCACACCAGTTAGAAATTCAAAAGCAACAAAAAAAGGACTTACCTTTGGATCCAGTTTCTGATATTCTGGATTTTCCTCGTCTACAGTGAAGAACAATGCCTCTGACGTCACTGTCAGAGTACCAGGGGCCACCACACAGGGTGCAATCATGTGACATGAACTTGTGAACACCACGTGACCGGACACATCTCGACCCATGCTGCGGTCTTCAATGACCATTTCTGCTATTTCTTCTTCGTTCAACGAGTAGGAATCCTCGGCTTTGGCCGAAGAAATTTTGGCGAAGTTGAGAGGTTGAGGGGCAGCTGTTAATCTGTGGTCTCCTATTATACAACGAAGGCAGAATAACTGTGAAGGAAAAACTACAGCGGCAGGGTTTGCAGGGAGCTGCGAGAGCCGTTGTTGGTAACACTACCTGCTCTTCACCAATATGGCTTGAGTTGGATTAACAGGAGTCAAGTTCGCTGTTAAATGACGTCATCCCTTCAATAGTTTGCCTTTACTATTTCCAGTTTCCCACCCGCAATAACAAGTAATATGATATTTTAAGCAAAATTCCAATACAACATTTATGCACGCGACCTGCGTGCATAAACTGCGTCCTATATTTAAATGGAATGTAATTAAATATGACTTCGCTCGTACGATTGAAAAATTGTAATCATGATTCATTCAATGTCTCACCTTCTAATGATTCCAGCAATGTTGCCTCTGGATGACTCGACCCATGTTCGTTCTTAACAAAGCGCATGCGCCGACGACTATCATCTTCCCACATATCCAGTCGGTAAAACTGTACATTTGCAGGCTCCTGTTCCACTGCCCATGCGCCCTGTTCACTGGTTATTATGTCAAGAACCTGGGAGAAATAATTGACCTTAAGGGATAGTTACCCACTAAAAAAAAAATACTTAACCTTGCAAACATAGCCTGAAAAAGTTCTCATATGCGTCTTTAGATTGCAAGCAACGCCGTTATTTTTGCTTGAAGTTGAGTTCTGAAAGTTTTTATAATCAGATGTCGAGAAATTCCCTTTTTACCGTAGCAGTACCCCAGTTTTGCCTCCCTCTATGACCACCCGAGGCTCTCCTAAGCCATGCTACAACTTTATCACTGAACAGTTCAGGTGGTTGCTTGCCAAAGGTACAAGAATAGCAAAAACTAGCAACTCTATTAACCTTCTGGATGACATTCCTGGCGACTGAGAAATCTCTCCTTTTGGTAGCGAGTAACAGCTGGTCTTGAAGTTTGTCGTTCTCGTTGTATGTAGCTTCAGTCAAGCGGCACAGTTCAACAAACTGCAAATGCTTCTGACGGGAGATCTCATCTAGCTTGCTAACGATCACAAACGCCTCGCTTGTTGTCATGACAATACGCTCACGCATCGCATGCGATAAGAGTCTGCCCTCATTGACAAGCTCCATAAAAGCCATCCTCCGTGCCTAGAAACGCAAAGGATTTAAAAAAAGGAAAATATTACTTAAAGAGTTTCAAAGGTTAGAACTTCCTGAAAGCAGGCTTTATAATAATTCACGAAGCGTGAGCTAGTTCGTATGCTTATGTATTAACGACTCATTCATCCCATGAAAACACGTGAATGATTAACTACCACATTAGGCTCAGCGAATTAGTTTTTCAAACACACGAAAACGTTCATTAAACAACACTAACCTCTGCAAAGAGTTCTGCCATTCCTGCGAACACAACAGCATCACCAACTCTACAATGGAGTCTGTCTTTTGACATGAAAGGCCCTCCAACACCAGTTCCTGTCCGTGACTTCCGATCAAGACCCGGCTCAAAAACGGGCTGAAATCAAGCAGGACCTCCTTGAGAAGAGACCCAGATGACTTGAACCCCAGTTCTAGTTTCTCTGATAGGCTCAAGCGGTTGAAGTCGACCGAGCCTTTCAGGAAACTGGGTATAGTGGGTTCCGCGTCTTCCCACGAAAACACGTCATCTCCTTCCACATCTGCCGAAGCGCTCCGCTGAGCTCCCCAGGTTGCCGCTCGGGAGCGATTTTCAGATAGACCTTGCACTTCACCTTCTGACATAGTACGACCTAAAAAAATAAATTTACATTTTCACAAAGCGGTGTGAGGGGCTTCCTTAGAAGAAATTAAATCTGGGCGTCTACACAGTTATCAATCATTTGTTATGTTTTAATCTTTACCTATTCTTGGGCATCATTGTTTCCCTTAAAATAATTTTTACCTCGGACGTTTTTCTCTCCTAAGGAAATATTATTTTAAGACAGTTTCTTCCTCTGGGTCAAGAGAACGATTCCAACGAGTCCAGTTTTTCAACCCCTCAACGAGGTGAAGACCAAGGACTCTTTGCTGTAAACACTTTGTAACGCAGACGCTTGCTTACTCGCGCGACAACAAAAAACACCCACGACGAAACACGCACAAAACGCAAGGATCGCGTACATTCGCACATACACTTCATGATATATACGCAGTGACTCTCACCTTTGCCTTCGCGCGCACTTGCGCCCATACACATATTTACGCATCCTCGTGCACAAAACACACACGTATCCTGTACACGAATACTTCAACACGCACCTGGACTGGCCACCGTGTGAAACCTCGCTCGCGCATCGGAGTCTTCAGACTTAAGAAGATCCCTGTACTTAGCGACCATCATAACAGCTATAAAGTACACCACAGTCAAGGCCAGGAATTGAGCCTGTTTGCTGTCCTCAAAGTCTCTGTACACAACAGCGCGTAAACGGTTCACATCCATCTCCTGAAGCAACTTCTCCGGGTCAGTGACTGTGGTCATGTGACCGGGTATGTTCTGGACAAGATCCTTAAGACACAGAGAAGGGACGTGAGCAGCACTGCAGTTTGACGTTTTTAATGGGAAAAAGTGCTTTTAATGGGAAAAAACTGCTGTCTATCGACAAAATTTTAATGTGTCAAATACCAGGTCTTTTACCAAGTTCGTTTTGCTTTCTAGTGCGATTTCTTTGGCAAACACCAGATTCTTTCGCAATATTTATGATTGACGAATTATTTGTATCGTTTTGCTTCCTAATCCGATTTCATTGGCAAAGACCGGATTTTTCCGCAATATCTGATTGATGAATTGTTTGTATCTTAGGAAAGAGCGAGAAATCAAGTGCTTACCCCTAAAATCATTACCTGTTCACTTGGGGGTTTTGTAGAAGCGATAAGCGTCTTGATCGCTTGCCTCGCTTCCTTCAACGCTTTCTTTCCTAGTTTGGCACTTGTAATCACCGGAAGGATGGGTCTGTTGCGCTGCCGGCACACAAGACGGTTACGTGCTGCGCAACAAAACACTAGACAGGAAAAAGTAAAGTAATAATGGCACAAAAAAGCATATTAGTCACTTATAAAGGCCCTTTATAGTTAAGTAACCAGGCTAGAATCAGAAATTCAGCTCAGTTGATGTTTATACGACTATTCACGATTCCGCCCGAAAGAAAGGAGGGTAAAATAGAGTATAACGGCTAAGATCTTACGAGCGAAAGAGATCATCAATCACTTTCTTTTGGCTTGATTTCCATTCCGATCGTTACTATGGTTACGATAATTTTTGAGACAACTACGACGATCCGCGTGATTCACTGGGTTCCACAAGGCTATTTCTACTAGTACATTCATTTCACGGACTGCCTCACCTAGCCTAAGACATTGCCTTAGAAATCCACCCGTGCTCATGTTCCTGTTGGCCTCCACCCCGCTGAACGCGAGGGAACTGGTGAAAACTATGACATCCACAAGAGACATCAGTCGATTCAAGAAGGAGAAACTCGTTTCCAAGGTCATCCCGCCGCAAGGCTCAATGACGTCTTGACCGTAATCACGTGACGTGACGGAAGACAGCAGGGGCAGGAGATCCCCGCAACAGAAAATGACGTTATCCGCCAACACTGATACAAAGTGAGCCAAGTTCCACAGATATGTTCCATTTTCTTTCGAATTAACGAAGTCCATTACAGTTTTACGATTGTGGCTAAAATAAAGCGAAAGGCAGTGAGCAAAACAGCAGCAGTAAAATAGTTCATTTTTAGGTCCGTCGTCGAACAAATTAAAAAGGACATATATTCATTCGTAAGGACCACGGAACATGCAAGAAATTTTAATATCCAATGAGGATGCAATCACGACTCTCCGCACTCTAAACGAACGACGAACTATAGCGAAAGATAATAGCTTCGTCTTGTTCAAGGTAACTCTTACAAGGTTTCTAAGGCATGAAGCCATTTTGAGTACTGCCACTCCTTCTGGATGTCTGCTATGAACTTACCTCCTGTCCAGGAGTAAGTAATAGCACTCGAGATCACCTCATGCTACAAAATCTTGTCGTAAGAGTAACCTTTTCATAACGAGCCTCCCATGTTTTCTTCTGCATTCAATCGATGTACAGAAATTCATGTGTTCGCATTCTCATCGTCTAAAGCTCGGCTCAGTCCTGAAGAGGACGAAATCATTCTGGGTAACGCGCAGAAAGCTTTCCGTGTTTTAACCTTAAACAAAAACACCGCTTGTAATTGTTATCGATACGCTAAAGGCTATATGTTTCTCATCACTATTCTTTGTTCTAGAACCAACCTTCTCCAGACTTGCACGTCGGACTCAATAGCAAAGAGCAGGTCCGCAAGCAACCTCTGGTGAATAGGAGACCATAAATATTCTGGAATATTCACATATGCTCTGTAAGATGACTTCTGATTGGGTGAGCCCGGGTTACCAGTCCCTACGGCCCCAGCAGAAGAAGTTGACCTTGGGCTCGATTCGGCCTCAGTCTCCAAAGTGCTGGTAGGGGAGCTCGGTTGGCTGCCAGGGGTTGAATCATCAACAGAACGTTTTTCATCATTGTTTCCTTCCGCTTGTGCCGGACTTTCACCTTCGTTAATGATAACACCTTTAGAATGGTCGACGGTCTCCGATCGTACAACTACCTCCGTAGCTTTGCAGTTCGATTGAGTATTTTCACTCGTTTCGATCGGCGCCCCTATGTACGAACTCTTGACAGCAATCGTTAAACTGTTATCAACATCTCTTGGTTCATCTTTCACGTTTAATAAATCTTGACCTCCGCTAGAATTAACATAGTTTTCGGGCTCTTTCTCGGAATCGTTTAATGTCCGATTTTCAGTTTTCTTATCATTATTTTCTTCACTAACAGACACCTCCTCGCTACTGACAATGTTTTCGTTTTTAAGAGGTGCTACCTCTGCCTTCTCGTCACCCTTTTCTGATTGGTCAGTAACCGTTATATTTCCTCCAGTCGAAGATCCACTCGATGAATTTTCTTTTACACCTTCATCCTTTTCATCCTCAGTGACACTTTCCGAGACATGAGATTTGTCTTGTTGACTCTCTCCATTCTCATTTGTATCTGAATTAAGCCCTTTATCAGGTAAATGTGTCCTTGGGTCCTCGGACTTTTCAGCTACTGCAGACCCTCTAATTTCGGAGCCCACACCGGTAGTACTGAGGGAGCCTTCGATGTTAGAGTGGCTTTCCTCAGAATGTCCAACTATCACATCACCGTTCTCATTACATGGGCTGTGATTATCATCGTTCATAGCCACAGTTTTAACATTATTAGTGGAAACGTTGGTGCTAACTTTCGCTTCCTCGCGGTCGGGCGAATTGGGTTCACTTTCACTCTCCTCTGGAATTGTTATAGGAACCGTTGGTTCTACTTTAGGTCCATTTTTACCTTGCAAAAGTGATTGGAAAAATTTCTTTCTATCAACATCACTATCCGCTGACTTAGTAACCGGAGATTTCTTGTCCGCATTAGGAAGAACTTCAGCACCTTGTTTGACGTGTTCTGGACTGCTAACCGCATTGGGAGTAGCTTCGTCCACTTGTTTCAGACCAGATTTTTGCTTCTCTTTTTCATATGTACTCACCTAAAAGTAAAGACTACTTCGCGAGCTTTTTCTTCGTATGTTATACAGTGTAAGGGTTTGTTAGTAAAGTTGGAGATAAGAACGCAATGGCTCACAACTACCGAACGCTGTTCGAGTTCATGTCGCATAAGAGTAGAGTGTAGTCACTCATTCGAATTGGATAGGACGCAGGTTTGTCCCAGTTTAACCCCAACCACTCCATTATACCCTTCCGCATTTAGACAGGTTTCCCTTGCGGTTTACTCGACCGGCCCAGGCACAAACGCAAACACCTTGATCCGTCTTCCACACAGCGAGCTAGTTATCTCCCTCGTGATATGCACACAACCTTGGACACTATCGTTTAATAACAACCCTAACCCAAAAGATGCGCAATTTTCGATATCTTTCAAGATACAAGGAATTCATACGGCAATAACAACTTTTAACATACCTTGCCGTGCAGTATAGCCAGCGTGTCGACCCAGATCCTCCAGCCCTCTCGTTCTTCCTGGAAAGCGTGATGAAGAAGCATACGAAAAAGGCAGAACACAGTGTCCGTAGTGCGACTTTCATCTAAAAAAAAATGGCAGAATAAACGAAATGATGGTTAAGAAAACAATGACTCCACTTCACATCATGAAATATTTTGGTAGAAATTTGACTAGGTGTCCACGTTCTTTGACAGACTTGAAAAAACATGAACAGCAACAATACACACTACTTACAATTTTGCACGAAAATAGCGAAAATTTCAATTTTGTCAAAACTAAGCCGCGGTTGCTTTGGTTTTACTTCTTTTTGCTGCGATTGGTCCGGAAAACTCGCCCGATCCTCTAAACCGATCAACTACAAAACTAAGCGTTTTCCTCGCTTCAAGCGATGTGCTTGGTTGCAATTTGAGTTCTCATTGGCTGATGATGAAGTGAACTATCGTTGAGATTGGTCGATGAGATAACTATGGTTTTGTTTTGGCACTATTGTTAATACTGCACTATTGTTAATATGTTATTCATAGTCAAGCCACATGAACCTGTTGGTGTTACCTGGGTTTGAGGGTTCAATGTGCGCTAAGGAGAAAAGCCAATCTTGCCAACATGAAAGCTGGAGAATAAGACTGTTGAAAAAAAGAAAAGGCAAGTAACTAAATATGATGAATTCTCACTGATAACGGCAACATTCCAATCTTCATGATACTTGTAATTTGATTAGAACTGTCCGGCTACAAAATCATTTACAAACATCATTGTTATTGGTACCATTCGCAGCCCATATTCAAACCTGTAATGCAAAGCACGCGTTGCAAAAGCGAAACCAAACAAGGACGGCGAAGGGGGCCATATTTTTGTGGAAGTTGTAAAGAAAATTAAGGAAAACTCTGGGAGAAAAATGCTCACTCGTTTATAAATTGACCAGTCTGGCCAGGCAGTTTCTAATCTTGAATGTCGAGCGCCTTCGGGTTGAGAGGAAAACAACGAGTACATTGAGTAGCCTCAAAACAAAATTTGCAACGCAATCAGCCAATGTCAGCACGCAATATTGCCATTGGAAAATACGTGATAGATTCTTAACGAAAATTGCAAAAATAAAAGATAGGGTGGGATTTCATTTAACATTCACGGTTTAAATTCTAGAATGAAAGAAATTCTAATTCTTGTAAACCTCTAAAAAAACTTCACCAGTGTCTAATGATTATTATCACATATTTCTTTCCATGAAAATGAATTGCCCCTGAACGCTGTTACAAAAAAGAAATTGGAACTTAAGTTTCTTCATAACAGTGGGTGTTGCATGTGATCTGAACTCACCTTCTGTTAATTTTGCTATGATTAAGAAGTAGAACAAGATCAGAAAGGAATTTTCTCTTAAGATCCACTTTCTCTTCATCTGGTGTTCGATCTTCTTTAAAGCTTCCCTGTCTCGTCAGCTTCACCCCCGCATTGCACTGTTTACCTTCGCTCTTGCGAAGCATCTTGGCAATAACATTCGCCATTGCTGGGACGAAAATGGAGCAGATAAACCGTTACGATTGGATTTCCAATTAAGTTTTCACAAGAAAATATGGTACAGTAAAACAGTCTCCTCAAACGCAATTTGTACAAACTTACTTGTATTATGTAGAAGAAATGTGTTGTCAGGTTGTGGGTGATGACCGCTGACTACTTGTTTGGAGACTCGACCCACTAAGATCTAAATACAAAAAGACACCGTTAAATTTCTCTTCTTTGATTTATGTAAGGCGGTTGTGATTGTTCCCTTTCAACTTATAGCTGCTTTAGTAATTTGCGATTTACCAAGTTCCTATATCGGACAAACACCCAAGTAGAATTACAGTGCTCTGTATTTGGCACACACTTAAGCAGAACACGAGTGGCTCGATGAAAACAATTATTTTGTCCCAAGCCTCTCGTGGCTTCGCCGCTCAATGATATTAAAGCGCACACAAAACCGCTAACTAAGCAGATTAACATACCTCAAATAAGACATTGTAAGTGGTAAGCGTCAGCGAATGTTTCATGAGTTTTTCGCCAATCAAAGAGAACAAGCTGTAGTGTTCTAACAAGTCTTGCTTTCTCCTGTAAACAAACAGAACGAAACGAAGAATTGAGGGGGGTTCCTAGCACACGACCTGATAATCAATCACTCTGCGGGAACTGAGCCGACGCCCGAAGAGCCATAAAAAGGCGGAAATCATGACTAGTCCCACGGACCTAGAGCTAATACCGATTTGATCCCGAGTATTTCCGAGTATTTCCAAGTATTCCCAAATGTTCCTGAGTATTTCCGAGTACTCTCGAATATTCAACAACCTAAGAAAACCGAGTGACTCCTTGGTGATTGTTGCTGAAGTGCCACTGAAAGTAAGGAACGTATGTGTCGCGCCACATGATAGCATTCGTGAAGTCTTCTATAGAAAGCTCACAAAGACAACTCACATGGTTAGAATTCAAAGATATTCTTTGTTCTCAATGTTATCTTAAATGACGAAGTTCTAAAAATATGGGAAATTAAAACTGAACGCAGTAGTCATATCGAGAAATAAAACACTCACTTTGCCGGGCAAAACTGAAGGAAACAGCCAACGATCTTTAAAGAATAAACTCTCACTGCCTCCGATTTCATGTCCAGAAACCGAAACAGAACCCTGCAAAAGAGAAACTAAGTTGAAAATCCACATCATTATAACAGAATAATTTCGGTAAAACACAAGTTTAAAAATGCCGCGAATCTATGCGTTTGAACAGGTTCAAACGCGAATTTGCGTGTAACGCGCGCAAGTTATGCTCAGAAGTGGCCCAAAGCCCACTTTACCTTCGTTCTGACGAAGGGCTAATTGTAAACGCTCGAAATATCAGGTTTAGAAACTCTTTACGGTGGAAAATTTACATTATCACTTCAGTCGTTCCAGCCCCACCGACGCAGCACCACTATTTCTATAGAAACTTACCACTCTAACTTACTACTAAGAGTAGCACGCTATGAAAAGACATGCCTATTTAACAACTAAATACCTTACAATAGCGCTTACATTAAGAGAAAAAATGACAAGGACTCTGGAAAGCTCACCTCAGCCCATCAACTTTGTCAAAAACAGGGATACAAGTATCTGGCTGCTCTGTCATGATGGATAGGACCAGTTGAAGCACGTCCAATAGATTCTCCTCCTGTTGTACACACACGAAAAAAAATAGAAACATAAGAGCCTTAGAGATAGCCAAAGGAAAGCTTTGCATCACTTTTCCTCTCATTTTTTTTTAATCTAATGCTTGCGCAAACATGATTTTACTAACAAAAAAATCATACCTCATAAGTAATCATTAGGTAGGAAAGTATACTTTTAAACTCTTCCTCAGTGATTCCCTTGTCCTACAAACACAAAAATATGAAACAAAGGGTTATAAAAGAACTTCAAACAACAAGATGAAAACTGTCATGCACTTCATTCTTTCCAGTTCTGCCATGGACGTACAACCTACCTTTAGAACTAGTTGTTTTACCAAAAGAAGCAAAAACGCCCTCAGAGAATGGATTTCTTCTTTTGACGGCCTTCGGCTGTCTACAATAAGATACAAACAAAAATAAAGTCGAACATGTGATCGCAGAAAACGCTTTTTAAAAATCAGCTGCTGACACCTGAGTCATCATAAAGTCGATTTTTCATCAAAGCCAAGTCAACAGATTCCTAGTTCAAGAGAAACTTACATTAAGTTTCATGAAAATCTCCCTTGTCCAAAATCTTTCACGCCAGTATTTGAACAAAAAGATTTGTAAGGGGAGAGAAAACCTTTCCATCGACGAGTTTCGTCGACAAGCGTTTTTTGCTGATGTAAATCTTTTCAAATATCGTCTTTAGGTTTGCCCTGTTACTATCAAATAATTATATTTTTGTTAATTCATTAATTAGTTGGTCAGTGTGTAAGTAATGCGATCGGTGCAGCTTGGGGGAGGCATATACAACAGCCTTACCGTGGTCCAACTCAGGGGCGTCATGGAGCCAGTAAAACGTCTTAAGCATGTACATAAGTCTGCTGACCCCAACATCGTGGCGCAAGTGAGCAGCACAGCCAGTTCCTGTGGCCAAGTCTGTGGCAAACACACTGAACAATTGAAGCTGGACCTGCACGAAGAGTACAATGAAGGAAAAGCTTGTCTTTTCACAGAGAATCTATCAAAATGTTTTGACTATGTCTACATGTACAGTGCGTTTTGTTGAAAGTATTCACGTTGAAAAAGCCTACGCATCTGTATAGTAATTCCACCTTAGGCTGATATCAGAGTACAAAGGATGTTTACCTTCGAAGACGCTTTCACCCACAAATTTGGGTTAAAAAGAATGTGATCTAAGAGACTTCCCAGGAGATCCCCTGAACCTGAAGAACTTAAGAGATGCCTGCAATGAAAAAAATAAAAATAAATTTAAAAAATAATAAACATGTTTTCAAAGCTAATCGTTAAACGCAGAGAGCCAGAATCAAAGCAATCCCGGGTTTCTCTCGGCACTAAATTGGAGACATCTCTACAATGCAAACCTTGCAAGGGAAAGAAGAATATCCAGTGCATCCTCTGTCAGGTGAGTGTTAACAGCCTTGTGGGAGAGACAGAAAAAAAAAACACACAAAATATATTTCTTTAAAAGCAAGGAACTAAACCGTCTCCTTCACAGAAGTTTTCCTTTGATTCGCACTACGCTCTCAAAGTTGCACTACCATCCAAAAAACGGCTGCAAAGGAGACAATGAACTATAGAGAGCGGAAGTTTTATCCCCCAGTTTTAGTAAGCCATAATAAAAGGTGAATGGTAACTGAAAATTTAGAAACAGAGAATGGTCAGGCCACCAATATTACGTAGGTCCTACGTAGGCCCTTTGCCTTGATTGCATTTTCGGAATTAGCTGAAAACCGAGCTTACTGAGGCTAATCAAAACATAGAAGAAAAAATATGTGAAATAGACAAAAACGACAGAAACAGAGAAGCAAAGCGATTTTTTTTACCATTTCTAAAACGTGACTGATGACAAGAAATCCCTGACACTGAATCATCTGCTGTTGGCTTGTGCAAGACCTCCTCAGAAGATCAGACAGAAGTGACAGAAGTACAGTACTGTGCAAACAAACAACCAAACAAAAAACGAATTAGCCTTTTTGCTCTCTTTTCACTTATCGCATTTACTATATAGCAAAGTGCACAGTTTAAAAGTCTCCACATCAGCCAAGCGATACTACAGGCGATTGAAAAAAAGAAATGCAAATAGCCCTTAACAACCAATGAGAACTCAACTAAAACCAAGTGAAACTGCCAAAAGCGCGGGAAAACGCAGATGACCAAGTCGTGATTAGTTACAGTTTTACATCTGATTGGTTAAGATAGTGGCGCGAGTTTTCTGGACCAATCAGAGAGCAACGTAAAGAAAAACCAATGCGATTCCAGATTACTATGGACATTCGTTTAAAAATGGATTTAATAACAATGTAGCTTCAATAATATACCATGTGCGCAAAGGATCCGACCCTGTGGTTGCCTTTCTACTTCCAACACTCTCTTTAATATGCCAATAACCCCATGTTAGCTACATCTAAAACTATCATTTCTCACCAGATTGCTAATTCAGGAGTTTCAATAGCTTCTCCACTTCCTTCCTGAGGGAAATCCAGCTGAGAGAACAGTGGGAGCAGCATCTAATAGGAAGTAATCATACTCATCAGTAACTGAACTTTCAATAAATATGAAGAACCTTCAATTTAAGCTCTGATGCTCATTGGAATGATCGCAAGCAATAGTTATTTGCAGACGAGTCTCAACAACTCAAACCATCGGTAACTTGAGTCTGGTGGTAAGTCACCTTTGCAACTCGTTTCCCTCGATAACTTTGATACGGTTCCATTCATTTACTGTGTTTTAAACAGAATAACCAGAAATAACGATTACCGCTAACTCGGACTAACTTTTTCCCCCATTTAAGTCATTTTCATCACAGGCTACCGACAGGCTACCGACAGGCTACCGACAGGCTACCGACAGGCTACCGACAGGCTACCGACAGGCTACCGACAGGCTACCGACAGGCTACGACAGGCTACCGACAGCAGATTGACGATTACCGATAAGCTACCGACAGGAGAGCGACGGTCAGCCGACAAATCGCCACCAATCAAACGAAACGGCAAACAGAAGGCAAAAAGCAAAGAGAAGGCTGTATACATGAAGACGACTGAAAAACTGTCTACTTTGGGAAGTGTTCTTTTTACACCAGTGACTAAACCTTCAATGATTTTCGAGTTACACGTAATCTTTGAAATGGAGGGGACGTGTTCTTAGCTTCAAGGTGCCCTCTTGCTTTGCAAGAGGCTTCTAAAAGGCTACAAGAAACTGGGATTATTTCTTTCACCCGACAGGAACAAAAGAGCGTGAAAATAACTCACTTGAATTCCTCCCAAAGAGTGAAGGATACTCTGAAGAGAATGTGTGACAACAGACTGCACTCCCTGAAAAGAATCAGAGTACAGGATAAATTGTACCTCTGATAAATGGTGGTATTTATTGTTAAAACAGACACAAGTAAAATGCACAGCCAGTCATCGTATCGTACAAACTAACGCAAAACGCTAACAGCAAGCTGCTTAAATGTCATAATTCACATCCCAAGATGATGATAATTTAACAAAAAGCATCACTCCAAATTTGAATTTGTCCTTGGAGTGATCAAAGAGCCATCTAGTAAGCTGCATAATTCGATTACTTCATTTAATCAATTATTCATCCACTCACTAATCTATTACTAAATTAAGTAATGAATTTTTTTGTCTCCAACACAAAAATCCCAGCTGGGCTGGCATGGGTCAAATCTCACCTCTAGCATTAGTGCATGGGGTGAATGACAGAAAAAGGATGGATTTTCAGTGGGCGAAGCTTCCAGGCATAACTGCTGATCGCAAGCTTTGGGACTGTACATGAACATGATAACAGCTGACAAGTGGCCTTCATACAAAACCTGGTAGAAAGAAATCAAAGAAAATTGGGAAACTTGAACTTTACATTAAAAAAAATAAGACAAAGACATCCCCTTACACACAAGCTGTGTGGTTGACACTGCCAGAGCTTATCCTACACTTGGATAAAGGGGTAAGTTTCTAAAGAAACTGTGGTGCTGGTTGGGTGGAGAGTATAACAAGCTAAGAGACCCCTTCAAGAGTATGCAACCAACAAGCCTCAGAATAATTTCCCAACTGATGCTGGTCAATTTATCCACTTAAACCTATTTATTTATGCTCGAACACAGCCCAGTTTTCAGACTCTAGTGTCTGAAATGAGGTATTAAAATTGGACACTTGTATCTAACATCAGACACTTGTGTTTAAAATCAAAACAATAATGGTTATCAGTATGCTTTATTACAGAAATACATCTCAGGTTGATACTGGTAAGCTCACGAGAACTCATCAGTGACTTACTGAGTAAAAATGAAAAACACAAACTACATGTTTTATACAAGACAACCAAATACCTTTCTATCCTGCTCTGATAACGGCGTATCAATTTCAGCAGGAAATTTAAACTGGCCCTGGAGGGGATAAAACAAATTATAAACATAGAATAATTGGGAACACATTCCAGGTCATTCAGACCAGCCTATAATTGTACATGACTGTACTGTATTACATGACCACTTCCAATCCTTTTGTTCCTAAAGAAACACTGACCCTAATTATTACTTTGATACCATGTACCATAAAGTAGACCCCTAACAGTTGGAATACTCTCACATTTCCTAAAGGCATGTGATCATTTCACCACCAGGGAAAGTTAAGATAGCCATTCTTTAACATGGTTACTGTCACAGTAGTAATTTTTAAACTTCTATGTACAGCCACCTTGGCAACACTTAACTCTTTCACTCCCAACAAATCATTATTCATTCTCCTTATCGTCTGCCATATCATTCTCACTATGTTTGTCTTGTGAATTTGGTGGTGGATCAACTAATTATGCCCTTATTGATATTTTTCTTTATTCTCATCACTTCTCTGCTTGATACTGTATTGATATTATAATGAGAAATTCTTTCTTGGTCACTTGTGGAAGTTAAAGAGTTAAAATGCTTCAAATAAAACTCCATATACAAGTATCAAAACCCCCAAAGGAAGGTAACAAGACATTTCTATGGTAGGATAAGGAAAGACTCGAAATCTCAAAAGGAAAAAAGAGTAAAGCAGTTACCATAAGTTCAATTAAGATGTGGCCAGAGTGAGAAGGCAAAACCAAAACAACTGTCATTGGTGGGGAGAGGACATTTTCTACAACAGATCAATATCATCACTGCCACTCACAACTAACCTTGTACCAAGGCCCTAATCTATGTATAGCACCAACAGTCTGGGCACTAAGAGCCTCAGAGAAGACATACACTGCTGCCATTTGGCCACAGAACACACTTTGAACATCTGCTTTAGGTGAAGAACCAATGTAACACTTGTCAAATGGCTAACAAAGAAGAAACAACAAAGTATGATTATCAAAATATTCTCCAACAAGTCACTGATCTATGTGAAAACACACACAAAAAAGAGATACAAAAAAGCGATACTAAATTGGGGTAATTTAGTAGTGTTCAATATGGTAGAGATGACGAAAAAAAAAAGAACAAAACTTAAGATACAAAACAGTCTCTGGGATTGGAAGATAGACCTATAAAATTTTCTGAGCTACAATCATCCCATTTTCCTCAATACAAAGGGCTATTTGCTGCTGCCAACTAACACATTCAGTAATACCTCTAAATAACTGAGTTCAAGGTCAGTATTGTAAGTTCTGATTTATGGCCTAAGCGCAAAGCAAGTAGTAAAAACAAGATACCATACCTCACAATACCGACCAAGAAAACGAGGTTAGCAAAGATATTAATTATATTTCTAGTTTCAAAGAGAAGGGGAAGATTTTTATTTAAACAAATTTTTTAATTTAACCGGCCACACAGTTTAATATGCCCCTTTAGACTGACCAATCATAGTGCAGGTACCAACTGAGAGATAATCTATGATATTTACCTAGTATTAAAAGTACCATCACTCTGAGTATCTCCCACTCCAAAAGTCAAAATTTTCAATTCTAAACAACTTTCTATCAAGCCCTCTTGAAACAGAAAAATAATTGAGTTGAAAAAGAATGATTGTTGCTTCATTACCTCATTAGCATGTACCAGAGTGGTCTCCCCAGTGGAAACTACTTTACCATTCACAAAACATCGGATCTCACTGGAATGAAATCTGTTGTATGCATGTACAACAGTGACCATATACCACTGGAAAGAAAGCAGTGATCAATTTCTTAATTATACTAAAAGTAAGCTTAATTATAAATTTTCTAGGATTGTTTTATATGTACCTGTGCGATTAAAAAAATCCACAAACAGACTAAAATTGTCAAGTTTCAATTAAAAGATTATTTGATGCAACTGTTTGTGGCATGGTTAATTTGTTATTGTTGCCATGTCTTTGTAAAAAAAGAGTATGTTTTCCAAGGAAATATAGCATATAAAATGACACTGAAAGAGGAAAAGAGACGAAAAAAGTACAATACACATGACTGCATTGAAAATAAGTGTTCACATACATTTAGGTTAGCTAATCTCAACAGTGTCTGCGAGCACAACTTAAGGAAAGGTACAAAATGGTGTTGCATGATATTTTTACCTTTTGAGGATGGAATTCAAACTTAACCAGGTGATGAAGCACTTTGTTTTCTTTTTTTCCAGTTTTCACAGCACATTCTAAGACCAGCATGGGTCCTGAGAAATGTGCAGAATAACCCAGTCCCTTACCGGTCCGAAAACTGCAACAAAAAAGTTAAACCACAAACAATTATAAGTAACTATCACTAATTTTTGCTTGAAATGACAATTCTTAAGACTCAAAACACATTTTGCTTTTAAAACCACCTCCTTGATCTTTTTTCTCAACCTAAATGATAAAAATAAAATTGCACAAATGGACTTACCAGTACAAGTAAGGCTTGCACTTCTCCGCATTAGCCAGGTGAGAGGTATCAAGGCATAGCCAAGTTGAAAATGTAAAGCCTGACTGCAGTGGCCATTTTGAAATGGGTGGCAAAGTGATGGCCTGTCATGGTAAGCATAAAACAATTCTCACTAAATCATGACTGAGAAACTCACCTCTACTTTAAAAAATTTTTCTCTGTCACTACACTATGGTTTGAGCTCAGCACAAACAGAATTTAGATTGGTGTCTTAATCCATATTTGAAAAAATTAAATTCCACATCTTTCATTAAAAAAAAAAAACATGGCCACTCACCCCTCCCTCTTGACCAGAAAAGTTGAAATAAACATCAGGACCATGTTTATCCAACATCAGCTTCAAGATGGTTAACAGCTTGACCGTATGACAGGGCTGAAAATACAGGCACATGTAGTTGTGTTAACCCAAAACATCATCAACATCTCATAATTTAAATTATTAGTAAATGCTTCATGAAAAAATTCTATGTTGCTCTGCATCCATACAGGCAGGGTGAAAATGTGGTAAGGACCAAAAAGTAGTATAGAAGGCGCACCTACTAGTGTGTCACTGACATTCTTACCCTGTGATCTATTACTGAACAGATGAATGGAAACATGGACCTCAGACATTTTATCAAAGACAGAGAAAAAAAAGTTTGCAGAGCTGTTTATAGTAATATGATCTATGCATTTGTCCTCCAATAAATATAAAAAAGAACTAACCAAAAAACAAATATGTTAAACTCAACTTCTTATTTTGATAATCATAGGCTGGCAATGGTCCAAAACAGGAACCTTAAAAAAATTTTCTTGATCTCTAGCAGTTTGTTACATTTCAATTTCTAGCAAAAGAAGATCTAAAGCTCACCCATTTCCCATTCACACCCTTCAAAGTGACAAACAAAGTCTTCAGCTCTTTGACTGTAATACTGTAACTGGACAGGATTCCAAGAAGCTCCACCAGTTTGTCTTAAAACAAGAAAAACAGTGATGATAAAAATCAAAAGATTGAAAATACACATGCAGTCCTCATCCAAGAATTTGTATACAATAAAAACCAGTATTACCTCCCCCCCCCCTATAAAAGGTCACCTCTGTACTGTAAGTGGTCACCAGCCTTTGTAAAAGAAGGGGGGGCAGCATTTTATCCTGTTCTATTTTTTCTGTTGATACTGTCATTGTTATCATTTTATTTATTTCTTGTTACTGTCTTTTACTTCCTCAGTCATTACCTAACACTGCACTGGTACCAGGCAGATGCCTAAATTTTACAATTGGTGGTAACAATTATTCAATTTTCTGAAATTTCTCCAAATCTTTTACTTACATTTCCTTGTTGTTGAAAAAGAGTTTGGTTATACATTTACATCAAAATAAATCCCTATAGCTAATATATTTGTCATGTTTATGAATTTTAGTTAACAGTTTGGTAGAAAATGCATTAGTATGGTGAGAAAAATGAAGTGGTGGTCATAAATCTTCAACCTGAAACAAGGGCAAAGAACCATTATTGTAAGCATTAGGGTTTATCATCAAATATTACTGGGGTTAAGCAAATGTGTTTAATTGTTCAGTAATCACCTGCCACAACAACTTCCCCTTCCTGTGAGAGCCGGCATAGCACTCTTTCAATTAGTCCAATTTTAGTAGCTGCTTGTAAGTTAGGAATGCTTTTTCTTAAAATTGCAATAAGCAATCCAAGAATTTCAACCTGTGGAAGAAGACAACATAATATCTAAATGATAGAAAGACACCAAAACTTCTAGAAAAATGCTGTATTCTTAAACATAAAACCATAGATTCAAATCAATTTAAGCTTTGGCAGCAGTTCAAGAACATTTCCTGTTCAAATTATATTCTTAAAAAATGATTTCCCAGTACAATCTTTCCACTAAAGTTAGTAGTAAATCTCTTGTGAGGTTAACAGGGATGACTTTTTAAACTACTGTGTAAGACAAATAGAAAATGAAATGGAAATACAAGGAAAGCAACAAACAATGTATGAAACATACTTTAAGGGGGAAAAAAATAGAATAAACTAGCTGAGAATGTCTTCAATTCTCCTGATATTTATGAGTTAATACATCTAAATTTAAAAAAAATAAAAATAAATGAATGAAATAAATATACAAAATAAAATATATATATATCAGATATCTAAGAATTTATAGTGCATTTATTAAGTTTGCTTTGTATACCCAATGTCTCTTATCCTATTGAGTAATAGGCGGAGAATCAGGCTACTTTTCCAGGTGTCCTTAATTCATAAATATGGATGTCTTGCTTGAGAAGTCCACGATCTTTTTCTATTCAACATGTACATGTCTAAATAGCTTTTAGTTTCCCGCAAAAAGTATAAATTCTGAGGGAAATGTGAAAAGACTAAAATCTAGCAGACACTAAGTAACAAAGCAAACTAAGACTACTTTTCCAATAGTAAATATTTGAAAATGAAGTTGACACTTTAGGTTGTAATTAAACAAAAACTGCCACATACACACATGTAAACAGTCTCACCTAGAATCAAAGCAGATTTCAAATACATAAATTAAAATCAAAAGCCATGTTGTTTCCTTTCCGAAGCGTAAACCTGTACTTCAATGTTCAAATAATTATACAGTATTGTAAACACAAAAAATATTAATGGTGCTAATGAAATAAACAAAAACATCTCAATACAGAGATATCTCAAGGATGAGGTTAATTTATTAGAAAACATAATTTATCATTCGCAACGAAGAGGAACTGGCACTTCAACAAAGAAATTAAGAAATTTTATGATCATTAACTGCTGACGAGAATATTTTCTCTACCGTGCGGTATCCTTGGAAATAAACAAAAAGCCACAAAGAAAAATTGCCAAGAACTCACGAATCAGATAAAAGAAAAGAAAAATATGGAGAGACCGCGGAGCTAGGGCGTAAGCGGGAATTAAAGTGTGGGTTCTTACCTTAAGTGAAATATTGCAGTGCTCCAAAAGCTCTAATAATATTATCAAATCCGATGAATCTTTGATGGTAAACCGGGCTTCGAGATCAAAAACTCCACCAACAAGCTAAAAAATGCGAGAAAAAAATTGGCAAAAACATATGTTACTTGATTGATCGTTTACTGAAAAACAAAATGACATGTAATCAACATCACGCGCGCGGGTAAATATGCGGAAGAACACGATATTTGATTTCTTTCTCTGCGATATTTAATTATCCAGTTTTATCACGTACAACTAACTAAGATCCTGACACAAAACTTTCCTTTTTAGATGTAAATCCAGCTTTGGAGCTGCAGCGTATTGTAAAATTAGTCCTCAGAGGATATTTAGACAAAAATATATTTTCTCACCGAGTCAAAAACAGTGTCCACAACTCTCTTATAATCAGTTTGTTCCTCAGCTTGTGTGGCCAGATCGATCAGCTGTGAGAGCTTTGTGCGAGCCGCGGTGCTAACAGCATTAAGTGATCTTTCCCTTTCGTAGTTCTTCCTTTCTCCGCTCTCATTGTTCTTTTTCTGAAGCAAGACTTGATCTGTTTCAGAGCGGCTAGTTGGTGACAGGCCAGGTGAATCCGCCATGTTAGCTCATCCTTGGTGCAAATGCGCATGTCCGCGAAGATGGCCTCGTTTTCGTTATCAGCTGATCGTAGCGTCTTTTGTTGCCAAGCGCACGCCAAAGTCAAAGCGTGTTTATACTCTATCTGTTTCCTTGTTTTATTTCTACTCTTGGCCTTGATTCCTCTATAAATGGTCTTTCTAGCTGCCATATAGCTTTTTTGATGCGTTTAGTCTGTTTTGGTGAGGATCCGACTTTTCTGAAATGCCAGCGCCACGCTCAAAGGTATGTGACTCAATATGATCAACAGCATGTTCCATGTTTTCGTTGTTGACATTAACTTTCGCCTCCTAGAATGATATTGAGAGCGCTTTTTCTTCAAAATGATCTTTCACGATTGTATATCTATTGATTGAGAAGCATTAAGATCTTAAAGGAATTGTTTACATAGACATAAAAACGTGTTTAAAATTTTCAAAGTATTTCAATGTTGTGGTATGTCTAAATGAACCTTCAACTTTCCCACAGTATGATCTTTCCTAGATCGAGAATTCTGATTGCTTTACATTTGATGTGTAAAATTAATCGAACGAACGCTTTTTTTCTCACTAATTAAAGTTCCTGTAATTAGATTGTGTCTGTAGTGAAGTTGATTTCATGATTAGCCTAATTAAATTTACAACAGAAATTAAGCATATTGTATCATTCTGAAGTGATGATGGTGACATTAGAAATTTGCAAACTTACTGTTGAAACATGGAGAATTTCCATATCTCTCTGGATGTGAGCATTCAATGGGTTGTTATATTGTTATTCCTGAGATCTCTGAAGTACAAGAGATGACTGCATGAAGGCAATTAAAATTTAATGTGTGCTCTGTTGTCTATCTGCTTGCAATGCAAGTTAAAGAAAAAAAATTTGTTTTAAGCTTCTCCATTTTTGATAATTATGGAAATTTGCACAGCAGCAACTCTCCTTGTTAGAAAATGTCTCAAATAAAGAAACCATCACTTTATTTTGTACTATTTTATTGTACATTTTTGTAGAGATGCTGTTTCTTCTTGAGCACTAATTAGCCTTTGTTTACTACATTTACCACTTTCAAGGGCTCAAATAAGGGTCTATGGCAACAATGAGCCTTGAAAGACTCATGTAATATGTTTTTAAAGTTTTTGTTTGACATAAGAAAACTAATAACAAAACAATCTACCTTAACTTGAGCAAAATATCTTATTAAATCTCTTGCAGAGATATGAATCAGAGTATCTTTCACATTACAAGCAATTTGAGGCTAAACGTCCTGATACAGTGAAGGGTGAAGTGACAAGATCAGTTACCAACAGCCACATGAACAGTCATGGTTCAACGCCAAGGGCAGGCCTACAGTCCAGTAAACTGGGTACTATCCATGAACCTCCACTTCAAAGAAAAAGGATTGTGCCATATGAAAAGAACCACAACATCTTCACAACTTTTACTGTTAAAGAACAGGATGATAGAGACTGGTTAAAGTCTGGTGGAGAATCACGCAAGTCCCATTCACTTAACAGACAGCATGAGAAGGTGAGTAAGAGACAGCCTCCTCTGAAGGGCAGAAAATTGGAAAGAAAACATTAATTTGCAATGCAGAGACTTTAGTTTGGAATTTCAAGGCAAAGTGGCTGAACTAATATAAGGATGCAGCCCCTTATCATTTCCATTTTAAATTATGGCAGTTGAAGATGCTTTTATGTTGTTGTTGTTGACAAGAAGATTTGACACAAATATTCAATGGAGCATCCAAACTTTTGAAAAGAGTAATTTCTATAACTTACCCTCAACAACTTCAAAAAAGGTAATTTTGCTAGTGACAATTTTCAATGGCATATATTTTTGTATTCAGGGAAAAAGCACAAAGGCTGTACAAAGTTCAGTATTAAACAGAAGTGAAACGCCAATCCTTGCAGCTGAGAGAAAGATGTTTCATGATCAAGAGCAGCATGGAAACAGAAAGCAGCCAGTTTACGTGCCAGACAGAATCAACAGGAGAAGCACTTACAAACTGGATTACGTGGACTACAAGAAAAAATCAAAGTCCCCTAAAAAGAGCAAACCCAGAAAACAGCAGAGTCCACCAAAGATAGTTGGAGGTAGGAAAGGAGGTAAGGAAATATACACTGTACCTGTGATGGCTGATGAAAATGAAACCACATTCCACCCACATATTTCAAGGTTTCTACATTTTCTATATGTGCATTCATTTTCTTTAACCCTTTACACTCTAACATCAGTATGCATATTCTCCATACCATCCTTTACACATTTCCAAAGAGGCTGACAAGGAGAATTTGTTTAATAATCAAGAGCTGCGTCAGTTAGTGATCATCTCTTCTATTCTCAAGACTTTCAGGTTTGATTCAGAGGTGATATAGTAAGGAGAAATTACATGCATTAGTTATGCTTAGGGGCTTAAGGGTTGATGAAGCTCGATTTGAAAATTATTATGAAGAAATTTTTCAATGAATTCATCCAAATATACATAAATGGACATGTATACGTACTTGTAATAATTTGTTTCATCTAATATTATTACCACTAACTTAATCCGACATGAATTGCAAGACTTTTCCAACTTACCATACAACACCTACACATACTCGCAGTTCATTAGTTACAACAGGGCGTGAAATTAATTTTTTTTTCTGAGAGCCACTTGGCTCCTAAATTCTTCAAAGTGGTAGCCAATTCAAAAAAAGTTGGTCGCCATTTTCAAACACAAACAAACCCCTTTTTTTACGCTGTCATCGTTCTAGAAATTAAGTTAGGGAAAAGATCTTTAACGTGCTGCAAAGTGGACAATAGCATGGATAATATGCAACGTCCATCCTAAATCTAGTTATCGATCGAGAGACATGTGCTGCGTTTTGGAAACAAACTTAATGAGGAAGTTTGCCGCGGATTTATCTTTGCAAATCTTTTTAATTTACTATATCTCTAGGTAAGGTTATGATGAAACATTCTAGTCGCCAATTTGGCGACTAATTTTTAGGATTTGGTCGCCAAAGTAAAAACTTTAGTCGCATTGGCGCCTGTATTAGGCGCAATTTCACGCCCTGGTTATTAACAATATGTACATCATTGAAATAAAGCCTGTTTAACTCAGTGGCTTTGGACTCTGTTCAGTACAACCAGCAATTTACTTCGATTCTTCCTCTCTTTCCATTCTTTCCAACGGTCACCCCCATCAATTTTATTTATCACGACAGCTTTTCTTTTTCAACAGAAGTTAGCCCTGATCGCCTTCCCCCTGCTGGGATCCGAAGAGCCACAAGTATTGGTGATACAAGACTTCTAAGGCCTTCAGAAGACTCCCAGTACCTAAGGTCACCAGAACGCCAACAAAAGTAATTTGATTTTTAATAATACTTCCCAGCAGATACCCCGCTGAAGTAGACACCCCACAACTTGCGCATACCGTAATCCCCGATTAAAACTTCAATAAACAAAACAGTCAAGGGCTCACTTGTTCAATTTAAAGGGCGGATAACGCGATCCAACGGATAAATCACTATCCAGCAGACGAGTGTCAACAAAACGTACTGCACTCTCCATCGGCTACTGATTTATCCACTAAAAAGTGTTATCCACTTTTCAAAGAACCGGAGCTAGATCTGAAACAACCTTCAGTGCTGCGCACCCGCATTTTTTAGAATTACAGTCAGTTGCTCTAAGTAACGATTTTATTCGTTTATTCTCACTAACTAAGGATAACGTAGATTTAGATTCACTGCTTTTTTTAACTGAGTGTTTTACGAATTGAGTATTTGCTTAACTGTATTATAAATTCTCGGCTGTTTCCAAAAATTATTGAGTAATTTACTCAGAATAAAGATGGAGAGCAATGATGCAAAGCAGAATTATAATGGATTTTCTTGACTCATTCCTCCAATGCGAACGTTCGTAGCTACGGACACCATGTGGTCTTTCCGAAGATATTCGCTGTGACCAGAGATGACTTCATAAGTTTTTTCTTTTGTTCAGAGCCTGTAATTTTAACTTCCTATGCTTTGCTCCTTCTTTATGCTCTTTATTTTCTGATTCTAGAGTTTTTGACTCAGAGTATTCAAGCCGCTTTGTTCAGCCAACGAAGTTTAAATACGTTGATGGATTATGGATAGAAACTCCAATCAGCACGGAGGCAACCTATAACGTAAGGGTAAGTGAAGTACTCAGTATCGGAATGATTGGACCTCTAAGATAACGTTGCCTGAGGTACTTTAAGCCGCTAAGCCAGGGGGATGCCTCAAAATTGAGAGGCGTTAAGCTAAAACCAAACTTTATCGTAGCTAAGTAGAAAAAGAGAGCAAAATTAGAGCTCGATGTAGACGCAACTGCTTTCCCTGAGTTTCAGGGGCGCACCCTTGAGAAACGGATTAACGAAGCCTACTGCAAGCGCGGGAAATGCAGATAATGCAGATGCAGAAATGCAGATCTGATTGGTCGAGGAGATTGCGCCTATTGCCCATCATAACGTGCGATGATTGGGGAAAAACTGGTATATCTAGGGGTACAGTTATTTTACTTTCAACGAAACCGCAAAAGTGATCGGCGCAGTCTTCCTCTTCCACCTCCTCTTTCTTCTTGCAGCTGATGCGACTGTAGGTCAAATTTTGCCGTCGCGCCAGGTAATAACCGCTCATAACGTAGTCTCTGAGGGGCTATGGTTGTACTCTGAGTAGGACATTAACACATCACATCTTTCGATCCGATCGAGAACTTGATTTCTTGGAATTGAGTGTTGTTCTTAATTAGTTTCTTTTCTTTTCTAGGATAAACAGAAGGATACGCCCGATTGGTTTGATCAGGTAAATTCTCTTGACCAGCAGTTCTCTTATTCAAATACATTGACCTTGGATGTTTATTTGGTTATCTTTGTAATGATTTACGGCTAAACTTTTAGTAAGATCTAACGTTCCATGTAGTTTGTTTATTGAGAGTCTGATCAAGTATTCCATCTCACAGGTACTTCATCGTCGTAACGAGGCCTATGGCTACGCACACAATGCGCGAGGAACACATTTCTCTCGCGAGAGCCTAGATGAAATCAACAGAGAACAGGCGGAACGTGCGGGTTCTCTTTCCTCAGCTGAGGAAAAGAGCAGAAATCGTACAGCACACCCACGATCCCGAGCAAGAAGCATGTCGCCACCACGAAGACGCGAAGCGTGGACCGAAGAACGCTCTCGCTCTCCGACAGGTTCCGAAGATAGGCGAGCAGGCTCGGGAATGGACGCCACATCTGATGATGGGACCGACATGATTCTTGAACGAGGTCGATCTCCGACTCCAGAACTTCGAGATACCCGAACATCTCGACGGCACCACCTTGATGTGACGACTGATATCTTGAACGATAGCTTTGAGAAGTCTGTGTCGCTTTCGAGGAAAAAGAAACCTGCTTCGCGGGGATACAGCAAGTCCGGCCGGAATGGGTATAGCACACCCCCTAGAGATGATAGGGAAGCTCGCCCTGCCAGCCCGGCCTCGAGTGTGCGATTAGGAGATGATGCAAGGTCCTTCACACCTCCCCGCAGGGTGGACATATCCCCGCCTGATCCCCGTCAAGTCAGTCCACCGGCTAGCGTCGGGGGTGGTGTGAGAGGAAGAGATGATGACGTGTTGTCCGTGTCTGCGATGTCGAGTCGCGCATCGACTGCATCGGAGACACTTGAACGAGCCAGGAAACGGCGAGACGAGTTTTGGAAACGAGAAAACGGTCCTAAATAAAAAGATACAACGAAATCCCAAAAAAAGATAAAAGTACAAATGTCTAGTTTTAATACTTGTTGAAGTAGAGAAATTCCTCTGTCCGCTAACACTTTATTTAAATCCATAAATTTAAGTACCTTTTGCCGGTTAATTTTAAGAAAGTCGTGTCTTTACAAATCGCACGCAAATAGGAAAGTCACATCAGTCTCAGTAAGAAAACGTAAATTCCTTTTTGTCGCACATCTTGTAGTCGAAAGAGTTTCCTTCAGTGTTGTTTTTTATACATGATTTTAAACGATCGGTTTTTTAATTGTAAGCTTTAAGTAAAAAAAATTAAAATATAAAAAATAAAGTAATTCTCAGTCTACTGGTTGTGTACAAGGGTGTGAAGTGTAACCATAATCTCTGTCAGTGATTGTCATCCACTTTTTGTGTGTGAAGACGCATAGTGAGGATCAAAAGCCAAAAAGTGTTAAATGAAATGTAATTTCTGGTTGTTTGACGAAGATAAAACTAGCTTGACTGAATTTTTATTTGAATCGAACTCTGACGATTTGGTATTCGATTGGTGAAAAAGGAAATTAAAGAACGATTGTGTGCCATAGTTGAGTTCAGGCAAACTTAATTGAAATGCGCGAATAACAAAATTCTGCTTTGTCATTCGATTTATTCCTTATAAACAAAGTACTAAGCCAATTAAATGCAACTTCAAAATATCTTATCCTCAAGACAATGGGTTTAAAACAAAAGGAGCTTACCTCTTCTTCTTGATTGAATATCGATTCTCTGCGATTAGCACGCTGAAAACAGCAAAGCAAGACATCTAAACTACTTTCGAAAACTGAGATAAGAGGAACAACGCTGAAGATGAATTGCCTGTGATCCGGTAAAAAAAAAAGCTGAATACTTGTATTGAAACAATATCGACATGAAGATGACTTCCTGTAGCTTGCCGCAGCTTTATCCAGCGAACGAGACAACTGGACACAAACAAGAGTTGACGAAACATCATGCAGGTTGAATGATATTATTAACAAGGTTTTCAATCAATTCAGTTAGTTTGCAAGAAGTCCAATTCTTATCGGTCATGCAGCACGCATGGGAATCTTTAAGTTGTACTTTAATTAAGTTGCACAGAATGCAAAGTAGTTTTCGCGCCTCTCTCGGTAAACGGGTCCGGGATCAATCTGTTCTGATCTGAAAACACTTCATAACCAAAATTATGTGAATTTTCATCAGGCGGAGGTCAAATCGAAAAACTTCCGACGATCTCGATCTCTCTACAACCCTCAAATGGTGTGAACAGAAAGACTGACGTCAAAAAAGGTAATCAGTATTTCAATGAAGCAATTGACTCAAAACCTACTAATTTCAACGCAGCTAGTGTAAAGAACTATAATTAAGGTAATATACGCGTTTCGACATTTCCTTTAGACATAGCTGAGAACAATGTAACTTGTTCCTTGCCCCAACCGCCATCAGTTGCAGCCATGACAACAACATTTCGAGAAAGTTATCAAGGATTGTTCGGTCCTCCTGCTCCAAGCACGAGGTAGGTGATAACGTGGTAATACCGTGGAGCGCTGAGGTTACCTCCCCCTTTTTTCTCCACCTCAATGTTGAACTCCACACACTACAGTTTAATCTTTTTCTTTTCTTTTCTTTTTTTTTTTCAAATTTGGAACAATGATTCCTGTTTCTTTAGTTAAAGGACCAGTCATATTATGTTTATAATCTGTGGTGGGGAGGTTGAGGATTTTGGAGGGATCAGTCATTGCCAACAGAGTATAAAGGGAGGACTGTTGAAAATTGATTGCAAATCATCTGCCGGAGGAGAGGGGGGGTATCACGAGAATATTGCAGAGCTCAATGGGGGATCAGGTAAATTTTATCAACCAACTTGAATCCTCCAATCCCCCCTCCCCAGGTTATAAATAATGACCTAATTCCAGCTGCCTCCCTTCAACTCGAATGAGCTGCCATCCAATATATTAACACTAACACAGGATGAAAGGGTAATCGAAGAATCGTCCGTGAAAACGTGTGGCCCATCGTCTGCCAGCTTTTGTACTCGCCCTAATTTTCATCTGATTTACCTGTAAAAATTTGTCGCCAGAGTTTAGTGCTCGCCTCCTGGAAAAGAAAATACCCGTTAAAGTACCGCCGTTACGTTATAAATGTCTTTCAGACGCAAGGAAGTTTTACCAGGTCCACATAAAGTTGGTCCGTCGTCATACAGTGTCGACTTCTGCCCCAAACCGCTAAGGAAGCGCACGCCACCCAGAGTACGAGAAGGCAACATCCTTAATTCGTATCCTGGTAATGTTCTTTACCCATACAAACTGCCCGAGGAGGTGAGAGAAATGCACTCATATGGGAAATATTATTTTTACCTCATTGATGGGAAAATGCTTGCACATGGTCGCTTGCTTTAGTAATGTCACAAGCACTCGCTTTTTTACGCCGGAGAGTTACGAGTTCAAAGACTATCGTGCCAGTATATTTTTGCAGACAAGACCTTGCGAAAATTGCAAAGAGTTTGGGAAAATGTCTACTCCAGGACCTTTTTTCCTTTTTTCTATTCGACAATCCTCCTTGACCAAATTGTTTTTTGCTATTCATATTGAACTCAGTTGTACCTAAACAGGTCCATTTTCACGGAAAACCCTTTTGGCTTTGTCCTACAGCTTAACTTTGATATTGTTTTGCAGATAATTACTGTATGGAAGCCATTTCCGGTCAAGATGTCAGATTGTGATCAAACAGAAGAGCTTCTCACAAGGCTTGTTAGCAAGATGTATCGAACTTCATATCAATTAGATTTTCAGCAATAAGATCCGAGTTTTAAAAACCTTTCCTTTCCCGCAAAATGTCACCCGCCCATCAATAAGATCCGATTTTTAGAAATCTTTCCTTTCCTGCAAAATGTCACCCGCCCAACCTTGACGGACACTGTTTGTCCAACCTTGACAGACACCGTTTGTGGGACATTTTAAAAGTAGAAGTGAATAAAGAGTGAATCAAAATCTTACCTGTCCTAAAACCAGCGTCAGCAACAAGTTCATTCCGAGTAATTCTCAGCAAAAGAGAGGACTGGATGAGAATTAGCTCACTCTCCCTCTTCCTTTGCACAATGAGAGTGCATGTTAATTTATTATTTATTGATTTATTAATTGATTGATTTTTTTAATTTTTCCACTCTGCGGAATAATGCTGGGTGGCATGCCCTATTGTTAACCCTTTAACCCCTGAGAGTGATTAGCACGTAATTTCTCCTTACAATATCATCCCCGAATCACACATTTACGTTACGAGAACTAAGGAAATGATCACCAGCTAAAGAAGCTCTTGATTATTCAACAAATTCTCCTTGTCAGCACCTTAGGAAATGTATACAGCATAGTATGGAGATTTTGCATACTGATGTTAGGGTGTACAGGGTTAAGAAACTGGTTGCTATGTTTCTCTTAAGTGTCAAAGAGACTATAACACACCCCATTTAGGAAAAAATAAGTTTTATTCTTCCATTGTACGCACAGATTCTTACGCATAAATACTACAGATAACGTACGATAAAGAGTTCAAAGCTTTTAAAAATCTTGAAACTATTCAATAAATTAAAATTGTGGATGTAAGCTACTTGAAAATGAAAAGACAAATCAATTTTAGTCGCAAAAGATCTGAAAAAACTGAAACCAGAGAAGAGTCGATAATTAAAAAAATATCAACATAGTCAATGTTGCAGTTGTACAGATCAATCACGTCAACAATTCTTTGAATCGAAAAATCTTCTTTCAGTTTACTAAAACATCACATATAAGCGACGGACTCGCCAAATATCAAATAAATTCATTCCGAAAAACAAAAAAACAAAAACAAAAATAAAACGAATGACTGATTGCTATTTTTCAAACAAACTTACATTAAAATACAGACCCTTATGGTGCAGGTTACTCCTAAGCTGACGACCTGAGTGGGGGTGGGGGCGGGAACACGATTGAAAGACTGGCGCGAGCATGCTTCATGCTCGTGTCCGCCTTAGATTAACCCAGGAACTAGAGAACCTGCCCATATCACCCGTCCTGCAGGCGAATAAAGCTTATTTAAAAGACTGTTGTCATCATCACAAATAAGCGTTGACTAACGATACGTGCAAATAAATAAAACAAATGTATTTACAAATAAGATTGTCAAGAGGTAAAAAAGTTAAAGCAGCAAAAAGTTTACAGTTCACTTCATGGATGGAATAACTCCTTCAGCCGGAAGTCCATTTTTAACTATACTTGGCTCTAATCCGCTCCCCCTAGTGACACTTGGTCTTTCAGTTCAGCCATTTCTACAGAGGAGAAAACAAGAGAACAAACGTATTGAAAAGAGATAAGGAAAATCTCACAAAGGGCCCATGACAACTCAAAGTTAAAACAGGAAACGAGCGACCAAGTTAAAGCTGCATTTAGTTTTGTTTTCATTGGTTAGAGGATGGCGCGAGTTTTTGGACCAATCACAGAGCGAAGCAAGCAAAACCGAAGTAGTCCCGGATTACTTTCGACACTTAACCCTTTACACCCGAACATCAGTATGCATATTCTCCACACTGTTCTTTACATATTTCCTAAGGTGCTGACAAGGAGAATCTGTTTGCCAATCAAAAGCTTCTTTCCCTGGTGATCATTTCCTTTATTCTCATGACCTTAATATGTGATTTAGGAGTGATATTGAGGGGAGAAATTAGATGCAAGTCACTCTTAGGGTTTATAGGATTACTCTAACGAGCAGGAATAAAACTTAGCATTACTATGTATTTCAATTAAATCATTACCAAAACGCTCAATAATATACAGCAATCTTCACGACCTACTATACCAATATGGAAAGATGTCAGTATCAAGTCACAACGTGGTTGTTTCGTTACCTTGTTTTAGCACCTGATTCTCGTGCATAAGTTCCTGATTCCTTGTGGATAGGAACACAGCATCTTGTATCGCTTCTTCTAGCAGCGTTCGGTAGCGCTGTTCAATGGCTGCTTTCTGATCCTCGAACACTTCTCGGTAGTTACGAAACGTCTGTACAAAATTGTCAAAAAAAACGTTATTAAAATTTCATGCTTCAAGACTACCTCAGTGGGCAGTTACTTGGGCAAGAGGAAAATTAACGCGTTACAAATCGTATTCGTACGCCTCTCCCCACCAGCTTCCATGCGCTGGTGGGAAGGGAGGGGAGGGGGGGTAAAACCTCTCTTCAAGCATACAAAAAAATTAAGCTGCATTACAGCTAGTCCCTCTCTTCTTGCTAAGCCACTCATTATTCCTCTTTCCCTTTTTTCAGCCAATTTTCTCCCTCTCCACCAATATTCACCTGAAAATGTTGAAGCTGTTGAATTTCCAGTTCTTCTTTATGCCTTTTGTAAGCTTCGTCCAAGTCTGCTTTCAAACGCTTTTTCTCCTCTGTTACTGATTGAATCTGTATAAAAACCATCACCACAATGAAAAAAAAATTAAAAACCATCACAAAGAATCATAAAACAAACATAAAAAACCACCACCACAATACTTAAGTAACTTAAGTATTTTAAAGGTATTTTTGTAACTGTTTTTAGCACAAAATTTTTAACTAGGTAAGTAATCAAGACGGCTTATCCTAAGGAATCTTGTATGCTGTTTTACGCTGTCCTCATATTGATTTAATTGACTTGTTCGATGTAATTAATTTTGGAATTTGTATTAAAGTTTAAGTTTAAAACCATCACTACATGGTTAATATGTTCAGTTTCCACCGCTTTCTCAAATTTGGTCGAGGTCTCTACTCTAAGAGGGAGGAGCACGGGTCCATTTCCCGAACAGCGACTGGATGTCAAGCCCACAAAATTAAAAAGGGCAAAAACGTTTGATAAAATTGCATTTAGCAGTTAAAGGAAAATTTTGATTGAGCGTGAAAACTAAACGGAATTACCTTGGATTTGCTTTACTTCGCACTGTGATTGGTCCAGAAATTCGCACCATCTTTTTAACCAATCAGATTCAACAGTAAACCAATCGCGACTTAATCACATGCAGTTTTCCGCACCCTGGGAAGGTTGCTTGTTTTATGGTGAGTTCTCATTGGCTCCTTGCGACATCCTACTCGGTTCTCATTGGCTATGCTGATTATTTAAGTTTTGGTTTGACAACACTTCATCGAAATGCACCCAAAATGAATTGTCCAATCGATAATACCCCAGTCAGACCACCCAATAGGTACAACAGTCAGGGCAAACTTCTTACCCTGACTGTTGCACCCATTGGCTGATCTGCCCGTGACAATACAAATCGTCGGGTTGGTTTTTTAAAAATAAGAAGACTTTTTACATTGACGAAGATTTGCTTACCCGCAATGACATAACAGTCCGTTCGGCTTTCAACTCCACCAGCTCCATTTCTAGCTTGATGGCCTGATCAGTGCTGTACTGTACGCCCTCTGCAGCCTTCAACTAATAGAAACAAGCGACATGGTATAATAAAGGTGATAGGTTTCTAAAGAAACTGTGGTGCTGCGTCGCTGGGGGAGTATAACTAAATATAATTTTGGTATTATAGCCTTGAAACTCTTTACGGTGGCCAATTTACGTTATCAACTCAGTCGATAAAACCAACATTTTCTTCACATGATATAATAACTTGTCAGCGTATGTGAACGTTTGGTTCTCTTTGTTTAAGTATTCGAAACACAAGCAAGTGGTGTCCGTGTCTTAAATCTAACAATTTCGATTTGAAAAAAAACTTTGAGCAAGACTCTCATCGAGTTTTAAAGTCCTGTCATGCAAAGAAAACCGCGGGCTAATTCACTCTTCACAACATTGACTCGATGGAGATAGATTATTGCTGTATCGTCTGATTCAGGAATCTAGACTTCAACACTTGAATTAATGAATTCTTACCTGTAACTCAGCTTTTTCCTGCTCCACCTCCATCTTGACCCTGTCTACCTCGTCTGCCAATGTGAGAGAATTCTCCTTCTCGTATTTCTCGCGGCGTTCAGTCTGAAGAAAAACGTCAGAAAAATTAAGAGGCAAATAAAGATACAGTATTTCAAAAAGTAGATTAAGGATAATCAACATTTTGAGAATGAAACGATACAACAACGTGAGAGCTAGAGCGCACGCAAAAAACATATCTTTCACACAATTTCGCGAACAAATCATTAAAACTTTCGAAGCATTACAAAGAACTATTTTTGGAGGTATTATATAGGGAGTGGCCATCCATAAAAAAAGCCTGACTGAGGGATTGCTGTTGATAAACGGTCTAGACAAAAAAAAATTTTCACGCTTACCTCAATCCGGTACCGCAGTTCTGCATTTCCTTTCAAAAATGTGGTTTGTGATTTGGCTTCCTGTTAAAATTCAAACGAAACATAATTTCGTTTCCCGAACATTGTTACTGTTTCATTTCAATTTTCACCGGATGAAGCACAAAATGTAATCTATCTTGTGGTTATTTTGCAGCAAGTTTTGCACAAGAGTTCAGTTAAAGTAAAGACCACCTCATTGATAGTTCGTGAGGCGCGGTGATCTCTTACAATTTGGCCCTTCGACTCGCACAAAACAGTGCGCGTTCAAGAAATGTCTAGCGTTTTTTTGTTCCCAGGTGCGATATGCCATTGCTCTTTTACGACCCAAACGTACAAGGTATTTTCTTCCTTCAAAACCAACCCAGAAACGTACCCAAACTCATTTGGTCATCGTTACATTCACAAAAAGTAAAATTAAATCGTTAGTAGAACTCCCCAGTCCATAACGGACATAATGCTTTCTCTCACCCAGAATGTATTCTAAAATTCCGATCGTACTTAGCTGTATGCAGAACGCTAGTCACATATAAACCTAAAGTGACCTGACTCCCCAATGTTTTCTGTGTATCTCAGATGACAGAGCAAGCGACCTCCAAGTCAGAAGGTTTGTGGTTTGAATCCTCGTAAGGTGATCATGATTTTTCTACTTTCCACGCTACTAAAAACATCAGACATTTTTTACCTATCTTTATTTATCACAGGGTTAAAAGGAAGGCCAGCTTACCTCTTTTTCAGCTTTCTGTTTCTCCTGCACTTCTTTCAACTGGTGTTTAATCTTCTTCAACTCGTCATTCTCACTTTTCAGTTTTTCCTTCAAGTCGTGTATGGAAGCCACTCGGGACTTATTTTCATCCTCGTTGCTTTTACCTTGCAATTACAAAACGACTCAACAAGTTACCTTTATATCCCAATTTTCCGAGTTTTAAAACCGAAAACTTTCGCCTTTTTGAGATGTCACGCAACGACTCTTCCACGTTACGTGACATCCTTGAGCGGCTGTGGAGGGAACCCTTTCCTCTTAAGGAGCCAGCGCACCCATACCAACAAAGAAATCGGCGATTACTTGAAAACCCTTCACGTTCAGAAAGGTTTTTGGAGCATTTTAATCGCTTCTGCAACCTACTTGACAAGTCAAACACACGAATTCATTGAGGTGCGAGTAAGGAAACAGTGATAAGATGGGCGTGGTCTTCTTCTACTGACTTCAGACAAGACTAATTCTCTTTCAATTACAGCTCAAAATATTTCTTCAGATAATGAGGCGAAAACATAATTTCTTTTGGTTTATTCCTTACCAGATTCTGCCATCTTGGAGTAGTCAGCAATCTTTACTTGCAATTCATCTTTGAGTCCGTCCACGAGTTTTCGCTTCTCTTTAAACTCGGCCGTCAACTATGAAGGAAACCGTAAGAGTATTCATTGCACGACATCCGTGAGATCTGTGTAAATAGTGCTTTTACAACAACGCGATCGGTTTTAAATAGCTTGACTACCCAAAATTTTAAGAGAATCGCAAGAAAGGTGAAACGATTTGCAGGAAAACTGGCAGAAATTACTCAGTTTTTAGTTACTCCATTAAGATGAAGGTTTTCCCTGATAACATATGAAACAATATCGTGTTTTCACAAACCTGGTCTTTTTCCTTTTGTAGGGCCATCAGTTTCTCCTGTACCTCTTTGTTGTCACGTTTGGTGCTGTCCATAACCCAGTCCAAGATGCCCTGAGGTCAAATCAACACAGGTTACCTCAAATATCCTTTACAGCACCACGCATATGAGTGACAGGTGGATGTTACATTACACTTTGTAAATTTACAAATTGTTTGTTTTTTTGTTTCGACGGCGCCTTTTTTGCCTGTGTTTACGTTTTCAGAATAATTGGCTGCTCTAAACTGCAAAGGCAACAAAGAATTTTCAGTGCATGACATCAACGTTACCAAATGCAATTCCAGGTCCGGGGTAACCTATCAGGCAACGCCAAAGTACTCTTTTTTCAGTTGACCAGCCTTTAAAAAGATTGGTTACACCACCACCACACATCCAAAGTTTTGTGATGCAGGAAACTAGCAGACTCTTTTTAAGTCAAAATCACCTTATTTGCCAACGTTATCCTTCGCTCTTCATCGTCGAGCTCAGATAATCTTTCTCGTTCCTCCCAAGTTTGCCGCTTAGCTGTCTGTAAATCCTTTATAAGCTCCTAGAGAAGAAGAATCAGACAGAGTTTGTCCATACAAGTTTTCTGATAAATGCGTTACTTTCAAGAACTATGTATGTCAACTTGAAGTCAACAACAAAATATGAAGCCTATATATTTCAGGCTCAGATTTTTTCAACTTTCAAAAACTAAATACACACCTCCATCTGTAAAACATCGTCCTTGCTTGCTTCTGCTGTTCTGCCAGAAGTCGCAAGTTTCTCTCGTAAACGAGCTATCTCGTCTCTAAGGTCTTGGATAATTTTGGTGTTCTCTATCTGAAGTTTACAAAACAAGACGTCAGTGAGTAAAAAAGAGCGTTTCCGCCACAGTATCGTACAACTAAACAGAACAACCCATCAGAACAAGGAAAAATAGGGCGCTCTTCGACTGAGCGTCGTAAAGCCTAAGTAATTACAACGGCCAATCAAAACAATGGAAAATATGGCAAAGCACCAATGCGAGCTCACAGACAGAAACAGGCAAACCACGGGAAATCGCGATTGGACGAGTCGTGATTGACTTAGATCTCATCTGATTTGTCGAGAGGGTGGCGCGAATTTTCTAGATCAATCACAGAGCGAAGGAAAGCAAATTTATGAAACTCCAGATTACATTCGAAACTCCATCAGAAATTACCCTTGAATTGTGCGATTGAAGTCACCTTCTAAGGGCGGAAAAATTTGAGACACTGAGCTGCGATAGGTATCAGTACCTCATCTGATTTGGTGGAGGGTGGCGCAAATTTCCCGAACCAATCACAAAGTTATGGGCCGGTTAATACCTCATTTTTCTTGACAGCATTGTCGACCAGCTTTGCTTTATTTCCACACTGCATGGAGGCTAGGGTCTCTTCGTAATCAGAATCTGTCAGAAGTGGATCAGGGAAAATCAAAACGAAGGAAAGCATACACCATCTAAATTTACTTTGCTTTTAACCCCCAAAGTTTAAGACTTGGAGCGTCAATCTCCTTTACTGTTTTTATCTACTATCAAGTAAAAAAAATTCAAAACAAAGCTGTTGAATGATCTCCTCGACCTTAGTCCTGGACCATGGGAACGAGGTTGTGATTCCCTTGGTTCCCTTTGCCTCTCCTATTGACGAATTGTGGTCATGTGAGGAGAAACTGGTAACTAATATAAGTCTTCTAACCTGCTGGTGACACTGTCGTGATCATGGCTGTATATGCACTCCCTCCAAAAGAATCCTAAAACCAAAACAAAAAAAGCAATTTTAGTTTGAAATAATATAAGTGTATTTTATCATGACGTTAATGGCAACAGCAGATCAATCCTTAAAAAAAACTTAAATTAACTCAAAGAAAAATAACAAATTGCAAAGTGTTGTTCACAGCTAACGAAAATGCTTTCACTTTAAGTTGACAAACGGCTGAAAAAAAAGGCCGGTGAAAAATTAGTTTACGAACAATCCCTCCCATTCGGCGGAGTTGTCGCGCGAATCAAGAACAGTCAGCGGAAAAATTGACGCTAGCGCGCCGCGTGGAACTCTGAGAGTGACACAAACGAAAGTTCCTCCCAGTGCACTGACATCATTTTTTTTTTTTTGGGTTGATTTTTTTTAAATCGCGCGACAAACTTCGCCGAAAAGAAAGAAGTGCTTGAAGTCTAGGGTAAAATTCAATTTTTCGTTTTGACGTGTGTTCGCTAGAACATTATGCTTGAGCTTTCAGGTTTATTTCTAACTCACCTGCAATATTCTTGTCAGTTTTGAATCTCTATATGGAATGTGACCATCTTTTTTCTTCGAATCTGCCAATGCACTGAGCACAGCATTCAAAGACTGGATCCTAACAAAATGGACAAGAATAGTCACAAATGAGGAAGGGTGGTTATCTTGTTTAAATTTAAGTCAAAAGCAATCTTTCACTTCTCTCCTGATATTTCAGGCGTATCCAGCCCGTGATAATTGCCAGGTAGTTAAACTTGGCCAGAAAATAAACCACAGTACTAAGAGGAATACCCCCTACTTTAAAAGTCTAAGTTTCTCTCTCATGTGTCCCACACGTTAATGATGTTAAGGGTCACTCTGGTCCTAATCAACCATATGTCGTTATTTAGTACCATGTAACGCAAACGAACCAATCAGATGTCGCGATTTTAAAACTCTAGGAAATTTTAAAATCACGACATCTGATTAGTTTATTTGCGTCACGAGGTATTAAATAACGACATATGATTGGTTAGGACCAAGAGTGACCCTATACACTACTCACGCGTTACATGACTGTCCATAAAGAATAAGTACATATTTATCCTTTCTGGACTCACCCTTTATTTAAGAAAGCACCTTCACTTTGAATATTGAGATCTACGTTTTCCTTCTGATCAGACCCTGACAAAAACAAACAAAGATTGCAATAGTAAGTGTATGACATCAACGGCCATTTTTTTCCCTGTGTTTTCTGAATCAAAGCTCTCAACACTATCCATACCTGCCATATCAACTAAGGTTATCTTTGATCTGATGCCTTTTTCAGCAGATTCACCATTGCGCTTCTGTTCCACATGGATGGTGAAAACACAGTCTGACCTACATGTGTATAAAATCAGTAAATACCAAATTAAAGCATTAGGACTCTGTAAGGGTAAATAGCCATAACACTTAACCTATGTGCTTACACATTGTGTATTCTTGAGGTATCCTAGAAGCTTTAGGTTTACAAAACACAAGATCAAAAATGGACTGTCTAGTTATTAAAAAGGCTTTGGTCTGGGAGAAGAGAGCAGCCTCATTACCTTGCACCACCAGAGTTCTTGTCAGCAGATGCCAATTTCCTAACTCTATTTCCTTGTTCAAAGAGACGTGCAATGTCTTCACCAGTTTGGACAACAAGCTCAGCAAGGCCCTCAACAAAACTGCAAAAAAAAGAAATCAAGCAGGTTTATAGTAAAGCAATCACCTAGAACAATCAGAAATAAAAGTTTATTGATCAGTTCACAATCTTATCCAGCTTTGATGACCCAATCTACATTTTCATTTTACAATCCTTTTCAAAAGACCTTGAAACATTTAAGTGGAAAGCCTTGATTACATTTGAACTTCTCTTCCCCCAAAACACTTCATTCACTTGTTTAAAAGCCCACTTTGGTAAACGATATGGACATAGCATTGACAAGCAGGCGAGGAAGTGCAGGTTGACATCTTTTATCTAATAATGAAAGTAATCTTAGCCCTTGCCATAAGACATGTTCCACATCTACACTGCTTGGGCTGTGAATGGTCAGAAAACAACTGTAAATCTGACTGGTTCTATGTAGTAGTTTTGAAAATGTCTCATGATCATTTATGATCACTAGAGTGGCCCTAGTGTAGATTATTCTACTGAACATCAAATAGAAAGCTTACATTCCCAGTTGTGGATGTTGCCTGATTGTAAGGCTCTTTCCTGTTGGGTTCAGCAGATCATGCATCATTTCCTGGTAAATCTACGATAACCATAACAATAAAAACAAAATTAGTAAACAGCCCAGCTTTTACCTGAACAAGCTAATGGCTGATAACCTGTTAACATCTGATAACAACAATCTGATTCTTGTTTCCCCCATCTAGCTTTGATACTTTTCCTTGTAACTTTTTTAAGAGAATTTTGTGACTTTTCAGGTGAAGTGAAAATCACCCTACAAAGTTGAATCAAGGTTTACTACAAACAGCAATCCCTTCTTGAGTAATGTTTTTTTAATTCTGAGGAGAAATTTCCTGCTTATCAATGTAGAAAAATCAGGAAAGGTTTGAAACATCTCTATTAAGAATTAAACACTTTTGAGCAGAGCTGATGAATCTCACAGATCAGGTTAAATTGCAAGTGCTTGATAAACTTGCTGCTTGATTTCCAAATTCAAAATGCTTCCATGTAGGGAGGAATTCCTTAAAAAAATCTCACCTCATAAAACGAAACAGTGACAAAAAACTGCTTGCTTGGTGGAGCTTCATCAATATGCTTGAACAGCTCTTGGTTAAGCTGAAGTGTAAGAAATCATGCAGTTGATAAATTTTAACCATCTTTTCATGGACATTGGGGGAGAGGAAGTGGCCCAAGGGTGAGCATGCCAGACACCAGGTCAAGACACCACAGTTCAAGAGGCTATAACTTTGCGTTGTGTCTTAAGCAAGACACTTACCTATCAATGTGCCTCCCTCTACCAAGGAATATAATTGGGTATCTGTGAACTGTCAGGGAAGCTGTACAAAATGCTACAGGTAAAGTATAGCAAGGCTACATGCACATCATTTTGACAAGGATTATTATTTTAAAATCATTCATCAAGGGCATCTTACCAGTGGAATAATGCCAGGTTCTTCTTCTGTTCCCATCATTGTGTATGTTTTACCAGTTCCAGTCTGTAGACATATTGTCGACAAATACCAACCAATGACAGAATTAGAGACATCATCAAAACTGTTCAATTTACAATAAATGGATCTCCAGTAAAAAGAACCAGTCACTAGCTTTACATCAACCCTGTGCCACTGCTTATAGCAGTGGTTACCCTTGGAAAGCAGACCAGAGGGGGTTTAAATCTTAAGTCAAAGCTTGCCACAAGGAGACTTCAACTCATCCAGAAACATGTCCATCAATTTGGCATAGGCTAGGCTGTTGATTGGTTACATGTAAAAGTAAAAGAAGTGGAGAAATGGAAGGGGGAGGGGGAGGGGGAGAAAGGGGCTACACGCCTTAACCCTTTAACTCCCAGATCAAATTTGTTATTCTCCTTACTGTCAACCATGCAATTCTTATAATGTTAGTTCCGAGAATTCAGTATTGGATCAACTAATTATCCCCAAATTGATATTTTTCTTTATTCTCATCACATATCTGGTTGACATTTTATTGATATTGAAAGGAGAAATTCTGTCTTGGTCACTCATGGGAGTTAAGGGGTTAAGAGCCAAACCCAATACAGGCCTTGAAATCATCATCTTAAGAACTGTACACTTTGTAAAAGAATACAAGTTTAGAGTAATTCCAGAAGATGGTGGTATATCTGTAAGCCTTAAAGGCTAGTCTGGATTCTCAATCAACAGTTAATAATCACTATACCTTTTAGTGCCATTGAAAAGTTCAAACACTTAAATATAGGAGAGCTTAAAATAGATATGAAATTTTAATTACGGCAACAGAGGTATTGGTGGTCACAGTAGCCTATCAGCCATGGCAAAATTTTGTTTCTTTTAATTGGTACAATAGTTGTTCAAAGGAAGGATTTGCTCAAGACAGGAGGTTACACCAGAAGATATGAATTGTCAAATGGCAGGGAAGCTTACCACTTAAACTACATATTAATTACTTTTCTTTTCTAGGAAGGAGAGTGGGTTTGTTCTTAAATGTGTAAAGTTAACATACCTGGCCATATGCACAGAGGGTTGCATTATAACCTTCTAAAGCTTTCTTCAACAATGGTGCTCCAAGATCATAAAAAATTTGTTCCTAAAGACAACAAGAAGGTGAAAGTTTAAGACACAAAATTTGTTGTAAGTTATAATTTATATTCTTATTTACCAAATTGTTAATACTAATTGTGATTATATATGCTGCTGTTTAGTGCTTAGACTACAAACTAATAACTGTTAAATAAATATATAACATAAATAAAAACATATTAGACTAGTATTAATTTCTATCACTTACAGTCTTGGTGTCCCAAAAGTAGCTATGATTAAAACTGAAGTTATGTTCCTATGAATGAAAATAGTTCAGAGGTGAAAATAAGAATTGTAATAAAATTAATTCACAATACATATACAGTACCTCAATGAAGAGGGAAGGCCATCATGTGTTCATGTATGTGTTCATGCCCTAAAAACTTACTCGCATGATAGACTATGAGCACTGCCTCCTGTTTGACAAAGTCCATCACATGAGTAAAAAAAAATCAGTGAATAAAAAACTGATGTTAGTGCACCATGGGGAGCTCTTGAAGTGATGTCCATGTGCCACAGGAGCTCAGAGTGAGGCACAGTCTATAGTCCCTTCTTTTCGAGTCCCTCACCCAAGGAGCTCCTGCGGTGCATCAATGTAACTTAAAGAGCTTCCCACAGTGCACTGACATCAATTTTTTTTTTACTTATGTTCTGGACTTTGCTGGCCTGCTCTTATGATAACTTGTCTTGTATTTTCATAGTTGCTTACAAAACCTAATTAATTGTAATCATTATCTATGATGATCTTGACAATAATGATGGCAGCAATACAACTATCGTAAGATCTGATTCCTTTGGCACATTGTGACCTGCTGTAGGCGATGTTAAGTCCTCACCTTGGTGTTTGTCCCAGGGTGTGGATTGTGTATCACTGTTTTGTCCGCACTCATTTTGACCACTCTAGTGGCAGCCCTTCCCTTTTCACTCTCTGTTGAGTGATAATGATTATTAAGTTAGACCATGGTCACTAAAATAAATTGAGTCACATGAAGGAGGATAAAATGAGCATTGTAGATCTTGAGGCTGTCTCTGATTTGGTAAAATTTTCTCTTGGCATATTACTCAAACATCCTAACAAGTACCCAAGGTACCTTTCAGTTTCCAGTTCCTAATCCTTTAAATTCCAGAAGTAATTAAAACACAGTTTCTGCTAACAATATCCATGAATTATCCAGAAAATGAAACAGGTAATGAGAATTCTCAAACTTATCAGGCAGCAATTGTCACCTTGATTTAACACCAAATTCTTGTAACTAATTTACAAAGAAATGTGTAGCAGCAAGAGGGGAGAATTGACAAACAGATCTTGAGAGTTAAAGGGTTTTAAAAAAGGGACTTATTATAGAGGGGAGCACATCAGGGAGGAAATTCATCTAAACTTACTGAGGACCAAGACAATTCTCATTATTTTTTTGCTTCTGAACTGTTGCCCAAATTTAATGACAACTGTGTATAGTAAACATTGCTGTAGTTGAAAATGTGCAATGTCTAAAACAAAAACCAAAACAGGATTTCAACTGCAAGCAAATCTTACACATGGAAGGCTAAATAGCCCAAATAAAATCTAATAGCACTATCCATTGAGAGGTTTTGGTCAAGGAGGATTGACAGAAAAGGGTCTTGTTAAATACTCAAAATTCTGGATGGGGAGGGGGGATTAGAGAGAGAGCAGCCTACTGTAAAGAAGTTTCAAGAACTTTTTCTATAAGTGGCTGTTAAAGGTATAATAAGGTGGCTGTGCCATCAAAGGGAAAAAAACGAATGCAAGAGCCTGCTCACAGGTTAAACAGAAATAACAAGAGATCTTACAAACAAAGGGAGACTGTGGATAATTAACGTCATTAAAACCCCAGCCTCAACAGTGAGGGTGCCTATTAGAATACTTGTAGTAAGGGTGTTGTTTTTCCCTCAGATTGCATCTTGATCATAGAGCTCAATTGTGTGGGTGAGCATTATCAAGAAAAGGAATGTTGCTAGAGATAAGAACAGATGTTTCAAAAACTGAATAGTAGTTATCACCAGACTCGCATGTGTATAGTAATGGCATTGTTACTACCCCAAAATGGGTCATGGGAGCTTGAGTCTATGATAGGCTAGCCTTATTAGCTTTTTTTTTAATGGGGAGAGGAGTATGGGGAGGGATTTCATCTTGGCTTAGATCGGCCCTTCTAAGTGCTTGTGCTTTTAGGATGGGAAGTGTGTAACTAATTTTCTACATAACATTTCCCTGAAAACTCAGCACAGTTGCAAAGCCCCAAAAAAGGACAAAGAGATGTCTAGCAATTTCGATCAGCTATTTAAAATTTGAATCAAAGTGTGAAAAAGAACTTTCCAATTTGGTTTCTCAAATAATTTGAATTTATTCATGAATATCATATTTATATTTTTCCTGTACTAAATATAGCAGGAAATAGTACACTTAGTATGGAATGATATATTGCTTTCTTTTTTAGAAAGAGATCAAGACGAAAGATAACTTACCAAATTTAACATCCTAAATGTATATTAGCCAATCCTTCAAAACACCAAAACAAAACCTAGATCTGATCTGAACTTAATTGATCGGATGAAACCATTGATACTTCTTAGATTCACAGCTGGATCGAGGCCTATCATGCTTTAGAATTACCAATTCGACAAAAGCTTGCAGGGTATTATCGACTGAAGCCTACGCATACATCAATCTTCAAAACAACAGCTGTAATTCCTCGAACAAAACTTATTCTGTGCCAAACAACAACGTTAAGTAGTAAAGATATTGTGCAGACATACAGCCTTATCATCTGATGAAGTTACTGCAGAGTCTCACTCGGATCAAGGTTCATCTATTTGAGCTAGAACTTCCATCATACAATAGAATTCCGACATTGACAGAAATCGAAGCTTACTTACCATTGAAGGGCCTACATCGGGCCGCAACCCGGACATTTGTTCCGCCAGAAGTCTTCATGAAAGAAAAATAAGAATTAGGGCCTTTTCTATGAGATAAAATTGCATCAATTTAAAAAAGTTGTAGTTACCATTTTCGTATTTTTCACGTAACTCAGGAATTTGTTACTATCTAATCGGCCATATTGTCTCCCCAGCAGGAATATGTGACGTCACGCTCAAAACATAGCAACAGTCTAAACAGCCTAAACAGCCTGGGAACTAGGAAAATATTTCCTTATTTATTGTTGCAGTTAAAACAACCACCACTCATAATCTTGTATGCCCTTTAAGTCACTTTTTTTAATCCAGGTGTGTTTTCTCAGAGCAAATGAAAAAATTGAAAACAAGAACTTCGAGCCCAAGATCTTTTTCCGGCCTTAGCGGTTTCGAGACAAACTTGAAGCCCTTTCATGAAAAGTTTACCAATCTTATTGCAAGAAATAGTGAGATGAAGAATCCACCCACTCTTGAAACGAAAAAAGTATACTTTCCGCAACTTTTCCGGGCCTAAAATTGAAGAGGCGGTACTTCAAAGGAGCCTCAATGCATGATTGACAAAAGACTCAAAAATAGTCATGCGCAATAGATTCCACTCATTCCTTCAGCGATTCATCGCAAAAACAGGAATCCCACAGGAGGGCAATCTACATGACTGCCATGTAAAGAAAGGAAAGCTTTATTTTGGGACACCTGAAAGTTAGCTCCACTTTCAATCGGAGGATTAAGGAATGGCCGCGATAAAAGGCATAGTTTGGAAGCTATGTGTCGCACTCTAGAATCTAGCGGTAGCCATAGTTTCGAGAAAGGGTAAACGCCGCCGCGAGATCTTTCGTTAGAATGACTGATGCTCGTAAGCCGCGAAAATGTCAGATTATTATGCTCGATGAGCGACGTCTCGATCTTCTAGTTCAGGTAAGTTATTGTTTTACACGCTTGGCATTTTACGAAAACTATAAAATGCGGCAGATCGATCGCAGTGAAGCTAATATTAATCGCGTGAATTTTTCTCCACCTCTCAATTCAGCCCCGGCTGATGTCCTGTGATTTACTTGATTTGGTGGCCTCGCAAGTCGGCCTCCACGAGAAGGAATATTTTGGTCTTTCATACACCGATGAGACGTAAGTTGATTTTTTATTATTCATATAGCGATCGTAAGGGTTTAAACGTTTTTTATTTACAGCTGAAGACCATTTACATCCAGTGCAAAACGATGTAAACACACATCTGTCATGTCGATTTGATAGATTCAGTGACGGTGCTGCAACCATCCCACTGCAGCTTATGCACATTTTCATTTCCAAGCACTGTGCTCATTTATAATATTTTTTTACTGTTAAATAAATTTTTAGCTATTTTACCGATGAAAACTTCGGTGTTCACGTTTAAGTTACAAGCTTAATCGATATTTCGTAACTTTATCGTGTATTCATTATTATGCAACGTGATTGTTCTCAAACACTTACAACTCTCACATGAAATATCTCAAAAGCGCTTAGAGCGTTCTCTTCTTTTTCACTTTTACTGCTTGTGCATCAAGGAAGCATTTTTCCTGGTGATGTGTTAATCGCGCTAATTTACGGCATGTAATAACTTCATCACCCTCTTCAGTAGTATGCTTCAGAGCTAGAGTACTCAAGCGGTCTTTCTATGAAGTTTACCATTCTTCAGCAGAATATCTTTTCGCTGTCTTAAAATTTATTTCGTGCCCCTCCATAGTATTGTTTTTTTGTTTCCTTAGTGTCAGTTTGGACGTTGTCAATCTGCGATGGCAGTCACATTTCATCCCATTTTACCTAATACTAATTAAAATGGATTGATGAAATTCTCTTGAGGCCCTCTGTGTATTTTTTAATCTTGCATTCTGAAACAACAACGGCTCTTTTATTTATAATTAGAGATAAGATATAGCTCTCAAATTGGCAAACAAGGAGGAACGTGTGTGTCTATTTTCCCGAAGCGTAGCGAATTTTACGGTTTTCAAGAAGTATGCAACAATCCTAGCAATTTCCTGCATTGGTCGACATATGGTTCGCCTAAAAGGAAATGCGTAAAAATAGCTTTTTGTTTGTCGCCTCGGAAGTCGCCAGGCTTAGGAAGGGTGCTTTTGGTGGGAAATAAATAATCAGATTAGAAATGATTGTAACCTTTTATTGACGCAAATTTCTATGTATGTGCCAACAAAGTGCAACTTCCACATCAATATTTCTGGGCCGTTGTCGTTGATTAAACATTGGCATCCAAAATTAGATCATTTCGCGTTGATGTAACGTTTTTCTTTATTTCTTCCTTTCTTATATCAGTATCTCCTTTTTTTATAAACTTCTGCCGTTAAAAAAAACGGCTTTCGGCGGTCGATAAGTTAGTATACTAATTAAATTGTCGACTACGTGCTTTTGACCGATGGGTTAAGTGTGGTGATATCATTTATCTAAGCTGTAAATTATATAATTGTGATGCAAACAATCTATGCAGCTGATAATTAACATTACTAGAAGTGCATAGTTTAATAAAACTGTTTACAAACAGACAGGCACTGAATTTTTATGCCTTAAACATTTCAAATGATTCGCTAAGACGGCTTCAACTCAACTGTTTAATTTTCCCAATTATGGACCTATTTAGCAATGATTCTTGCAACAAATGTTGCAAATAACTGGTTATTTTTTATTTTCAACTGAATTTTGTCAAGCAGGTTGAGTTCTGCATTGGAAACAGAAGACCTAAATATAAATTTTGATCATTCAGGTGTGTCGTGAGTCTTTTGACTGAAATTAGACAATGTGGTTTGAAAAATCTGAACTGGGTTTGAGGTATGGCCAAAATAGTGCTGACACGTAATCACATTTCCCAGGCAAAACCAGGGCATTATGTTCAGAATGGTTTGAAGCATATTGATGTCATTGTGCCTTTCCTTGCATAAATTGATTTGGAACACATTTTGGGTCACCAAGTATAATTTCTGTATGATCAGCTTAGGTGTGAACCTAATACCATTAGGCACTTGGAGATTACAATTAAATGGGCATTAAAAGGTCAATAGATGATACGTGTCATGACTCATCTGGTGGTAATTTCTTTCTGTGTTATGCTAATGTTTTTTTCTGTTGTTGACAGGATGCTAATTATGTTTATAATATATTTGACATTTGTAGGAAAATTACATTTTGTTTTGTAGGCAAAGAGCTCCACTACGTTGCTAACTATTCCTAGTTTAGTTCGCTAAGTATTACTCAAACTTAAAATTTCGCCTCATCAACTGTGATATTTGCCAATAAAAAATTTATGTTTGTGGTATTGCAACAGGAATTGATGCATTTAAAAATTGATAAAATGTTTTTTAAGGTTGGATAAGCTTTATTGTTAATCAAAATGTGGCCTAATAGCCTTTACAGAAGGTAATAAAATATAAGAAGTTAACAAATTTATTTTCTCTGGTCCATATTAAATTAAATTAAACCAATTGACTCATTAAGTTCAAGCAAAGTCCTAATCTGTGGAAAACTAGTTGCATTAGTGTTTGCATGATGCCAAAACTATTTACTGATATTTATTGTCAACCATAAAAATCTATTTTGGAATTATAAAGTTTTCTTTTTTAAAAAAAATTATCTCTTGCAAGTTTGTTAATTAAGGTGCAAGAGTTGGTGTTCAGAATTTTTTATTGCATATTTAGTGGTTGATTTTTTTTAGCTGTACACATATGTGATAATACTCTTAAAAGAATATGCTTTTTTGTCCTTTGTACATGGCTTAAAGGTGTTAATCATATTATGTATCAAGAATTTTGAAAATAAACACAGTGTCACTTAATATCATAGTTTGAATTCCATCCCCCTTACTAAATTGTTGAATCTTGCAGATGTGCACGACCGCACTCATGAAGTAGAATTTTCTTTACTTTGCAGTTAATTGTTAGTCTTGCTATGTACATACTTTCAAAAGTAGAATTAAAAGTAAATTAAAGTTTGACTTAGACCCAGTTCAGAGTCATGCTTCTGTCATGTCAAACTCTATCCAGAAATCTAGTTCCACAAAATCATGGCAGAAGCACCGCATCTGAATCAAAGTTTTAAATTAAGTTTCGTAAAGAAATTAATGTTGGGAATGTGTGCTGTGCAACATGACTCATTCAATCAATTGTAATATGTTATTTTGGCAGGATTGCATTTCTACAGGAAGTTATGACATTAAATCATTACATGTCCTCAGTAAATCCTGAATTTTGTGATATTCTTGCCTGGCATCTGTATCAGAGTCGTGCTTTGCCATACTATGGTCAAACATAATTGCAATTAAGTTTTCGGCATATAGAAGTACAACATCTGAACTGGGCCTAAGGGAAATAAAAAAAAAAATTCAAGGTCATTACATGTAATCTGTTTTAATCTTCTCTTTCCTTCTTTCTTCATAGATATTAAATTGTTGGTCTGACTATTTTTTAAATGTTTTGTATTGACAATCACGAAAAAGTGATCTTTCTTTCCTCTTTGCTATGCAGAAGTCACCAGACCTGGTTAAGACTTGACAGAAAAGTTCTAGACCATGATCTTCCAAGATATCAAGACCCTTTTCTTTTAGTGTTTTGTGTCAGGTGAGAACAAATTTATACATTTGTGTGAATGATAAAATAATCTTTTTTTCATTTCATTTTCAGTTGATATACATGTACTATAAACTAAGCCATATGTCATTTCTCAAAATAATTATGAAAAGAGCCCCGTTTGTAGAATCTGTCTGTTTGGGATTGGAGATTGTTTGGTGTAAAAATAGGCCTTAGTGCAAGATGAGAAAGGTGAACACTAAATTTGTTTTGAGTCTAAACAAAAAAACCAGAAAGGTTGAATTTAAAGGGGATTTTTTTTTGCTGTCATATTATCAGAAGGGGATAGGTATTCATGTCTATATGTCTAAGTGGTGAATTTCCTTTGAGGTTCGCCACACTTTAGGGCTGATATGGGTGGACACATCCTTTTCCATGCTTTGTTTCATTGTTCATACAACAGGAAATAGCATATCATGTAGTAACATTGAGACACAGCAAGACACTCATGAATGCTCTCAGCTTTAGTTATCCAGTTCTGGCTAGAACGACCTGGTTTTTCAGATTTTTCTCTTAAAATATCCATTTCTCTATCATCTCCTTGTTGTATTAGTGCTGCAAATGTTAATTTATATATTTTTTTTTATATTCAGGTTTTTTGTCCCCAATGTTTTGATTTTAAAAGAAACAAGTACTATAGAGCTCTTTTTCCTTCAAGCACGCATTCTTATCTTTAGGGTGAGTAGGAAGTTGTCTACAGTGTATTGTGTATTCAACTAACAAAAAATTAAAGATCTGGGCTAGATTATATTGTCAAAAAGTTTGTGATAAGCACTATTGTAGATACAATTATAATAACTCTTTCTAAGAGTGACACTTAAGAAGCACTCGTGCTGTAGTTAATAAAAAAAAAGAAAGTATACTTTGGGTTAATGGTTTTTTTTCGTTGGACAAGGCGATTAATTCTCTCAATGTCTTAACTCACCCTTCCTCATTATAAGTAAAGCACAAACTGTTGTGAACACTCAGGATTTTCATAACAAAATTTAGTCTCAGAAGAATACTGTAAAGTAACAGAAAGATTTTCAAATGAATTACACTCTAACATCTGTATTCATATTCTCTTTACAATATTTCCCATAGTACTGTGAGGAGATTTTATTTGACAATCAGAAACTTCTTACACTGTTGATCAATTCCTTTATTCTTATAACCTGTATATTTGATTCAAGGTTGATACTGTAAAGAGAAATTAGACACTAGTCACTGTTGGTGGCCTAAGGATCAAAAATGATTCATGTCAGCAAAATTCAGCAGCAGAATTCCATATGATATCTGGAGAATTCTCTGATGTCTACTGCTTCATGTACACTATGGAGACATGACGTAGTACTGGGGGTGTAATTTTTGATGGACCATCATCAGTTGAAGCTGTTTCAGTAGTACTCTTAGTCTTTTTGTAGAACAGAAAGGGGGAAAACACCTAGCACTCATGCAGCTGCTTGTCTTGAGTAGTTCCTTTTCACATGAGTAACATACCACAATAAATTCAGATCTAAAAAAATATTTATTTGAATTTTTTTCTAACCTCTTCTCTGTACAATGTTTTTTTTTCCAGGGTACAATTCAGTGTGATAGTGAAACTGTTTTTGAACTAGCTGCCCTTGCTCTTCACGCAACAAATGGGGACTACACCAGGTTCGACATAAAAGCTGTTTAAAATTCTACCTTGAAATTTTCTGCTTGAATTGTTTTTTCTTCCTTGCTGGAGCAAGTTAACATGTAATTGCTCTCGAAAAAATGTTTACTAAATTACAATTAATCTCCCTTCAGTGATGAAGCTGCAAGAGCAGATCTCAGGAAATTACCAGTTCTTCCTACAAGAACACTTAAAGAGCGACCTTCAATTACACTCTGGTAGGTTAATGTACAGACTTCTTTTGACCATTTGCTACAAATACATATATGAACAAGCTGAAAATGTTTCAGACTGACAAAGTTAGGAAGATGTAAAAATTATGTATGAGTTGTTCCTCAAGTTATGAGAAACTGTTTCTTGAGGGTTGTGACATTGTTCAAGGCATGGGTATAAGGGTCCAGAATTCTGAACTCTTTAACTCCCATGAGTGACCAAGACAGAATTTCTCCTTACAATGTCAATGCAATGTCAAGAAGACAAGTAATGAGAATAAAGAAAAAAAAATAAATTAATGGATTATAAGTTGATCCAATACCAAATTCTCCAAACTAACATCACAAGAACTGTATGGCAGACAGTAAGGAGAATTACTAACAAGATCTTGGGAGTTAGAGGGTTAAGCCTTGGTGTCAGCCAAATTGATTCTTAACATAGCAAAATTAGGATGTGAGGTTATCAATAAAGAGTGCATGAGTTTCAATCCATGCAAATACTAAAAGGCGTCATGTTAATTATTTTTCTATTACAAATGAATAAATAAGATGACTCTAAGTGAATTCCAATGTGTGTTATTCAGTGAAGATAGAGTGTTGGATTATTACAAGAAATCTGCCGGGCAGACAAGAGGTGAATCTGTTGTGAGGTAAGCTGCAATAAACAATATAAATTTATTAGGTCCACACAGTAATTTTTGTTCTTTTTCATATGTACTGGTTCGTGTGATATTTATCTTTAACATTAGTAAACTGAAGTATGACTTTGTGACAAACAGGAACTGCTGCTACATGTAAATTCTCATAAACCATTGTTACACTAAGTATTAGATGTGTGATCATGGAAAAAAATCTTTCTGCCCTTAACCAGTGCTGTAGACATGCAGCTTAAACTCTTACTCCTTTTTCCTTCCCTCAGGTATCTGGTTATTTTTCAAAGCTTACCAACATATGGTGTTCATTATTATGAAGTTAAGGTGGGTACAGTGAAGGTTGGATTTTTATGGGAAATATTTGTTGGAAAAGAGACAACACTTTTAAAATGTGACATTTCAGTGACTGCATGACGCCATTATCAAACACAAATGGTAACATTGACATGTCATAGTCAAAACATCATGTCATTGTTTTATTTATTATCCTAATGTTTTACAAAATCTCATTATCAAACATTTTCTGACAATATTCTTGTATTTTCATCTGAGAAATATTTTAAAGATTTCAAAGGTTATCTATCCTAAGTACCTACAGTTTTCTTGGTATTACTTGCTATTCAAATGTTTTTACTCTCTTTCATGTGTCAAATACAATAATTACTGCATCCAGTGTGGGTAGAAAAGTTTTTTCAGAAATGGTTTCCTACCTACTCCCATTTCCTCATGATGAATATGTTTTGTCTTCTTTGGTGAAAACAGCCATTTGACAAAGGCATTGTATTAACCAATATTCTGTAAAACTATTTATTAAGTATGCTTTTTTTTCTATTTGCAGGACAAGAGCAACATCCCTTGGTGGTTAGGACTCAGTCCTAAAGGAATTGGTCTTTATGATCATGGAGATAAAATTAAGCCAAGAAAGGTAAAGCATATCTTAATGATTGCTTAGTTTTGTACCACAGTGTACCATTTGCACCAATTTCAAATGACCCTTCCATCTTTCAAGACCTCTAGGCAAGAGTGCAATTTGAAAGCAATATCTTGCAGAATGAGTTATTGGGTTTGAAAGTGTGTTGCTCTTGGAGAATGAAATTTTTCTCTTTTGAATGTCCTGGCTTTAAATATCAAAGTTTTTTTTCTATTACATTTTAACCCAATATTTTCATTTTCAGATTTTTATGTGGGTTCAGATAGAAAACATTTACTTCAGAGATAGAAAGTTCTCCATTGAGATCAGAGATTCCTACAGGTAAGTTTCATAAGGTGAAAAATTCCATCTTCAGGAAACTGTTTGCTATGAAATTATGAAGGAAGGACACCATTGTTCAAAGCACAATTTATATAACTCAGGTTTAGCCAACAATTTTGAATTAGTTTTGTTGCTTTGGATACATTTTCAAGTGATTGTATTTTCCTTGAAGACTTTTTATTTTTAATTTAATCTTTAGACTTTCTCAATGCATATGATTTAAGCACTACATATTTTTGTTGCACATTTAACAAAGTTGTTAGTTAATATTCCTGTTCAGTAATGGATTCCTTGTTCCATTTGCATGCTAATACTCCGAACGGAAACTTCTCCAGGTATATCATGAGTCTTTCATTCTTTTCTTTGTGAAACAGTGAATCTCAGAACTGTTGAATATGCCATATCCTCTTACACAATAAAAACTATGCTCTAGTGGTCAGGTGATGATCTAAAGATCATCACCTGATAGAGTGTCAAATTGTTAAAACTAAACCACCAAATGAGAAAAAAAAAAGACCGTCTTAATTAGTGACCCACCAACAGTTGAAAAAGCTGGTATTTTGGTACTGTATCAGAAAATAAGTCCTCTCATGGAGTATTTGAACTTTCCACCTTCCAGATATGAATTTAAGGACAGTAAAACTAGGTATGTTAAATCAATATTACCCCCTTGTGAAAATAAATTTCCTCTTCACTTAAATGCATGCACAGTCTTAAAGTAAAATGTAACTTTAATGTGGGTGTAATGGGTAAAGTAGATAAGGAAAAATTAAACCACGTACGTGTATAAATTAAAAACCAGCTAAGAAGTGACAGTAAAACATGTGATAAGTTATGTATATTAATTGATATAAAAATAATATAAAAACTGTTAGTAGATCAATACTATTATTTTGCCGTGATGTTCTTTAATTCGTTTAGTATATATTTATTTCTTTGTGTATTTATACGTTTGTGTGTAGGGTTAACACAATCGGCCGCAAACATGGCGCTGGCAACATGATGGTTCATGCCTGGTTTTCAAGTACAGGTGCATTAGCTAAGACAATGTGGTCCATGGCGATCAGTCAACACCAGTTTTACCTGGATAAGAAGCAAGTCGAGGTTAGTACTTATTTGATGGAGTTTGTTGAATGAAGTAATTCTAATGAATGGCAAGCCAACCGCAAGCATTTCTTCAAGTTTTCCTCGACACTTTCCTTGCTCTCTACACAATTCCTAAGGTACTGATAAGGAAAGTCTGTTTAACAATGACGAGCTTCTTAAGTTGGTGATCATTTCATAAACCTTAATGTGTGATTCAGGGTGATACTGTAGGGAGAAATAAGATGCTGGTCACCCTAAGGGATCTAAGGGTTAAAACCAATTTACACAGCGAGATCGAAGAGTGCGTGAAGATGATGTGTCTTCTGGTTTCTGATTGGTTAGCCTTAGCTGCTACATAGAACGCGTTCCAATTCCAATCAAACGTAGTGGCCAATCAGATCTCAAGGAGCCAATGAAAACTCCAAGCTTAAAAGCAAGCAAACTGATCGAAGCGTGGGAAAACGCGCGCGTCCAAGTCGCAATTGGCTTTGGGTTTTACATCTGATTGGTTGAGGAGGTGGCGCGACTTATCGGGACCAATCACAGAGCGCAGTGAAGAAAAACCATTGAAGTCTCGGGTGCTTTCGAAACTGAAAATTTTAAGCAATTAAAAAACCTTAACCCGTTTATACTAACCTTTAATAAATAAGGGAATGCTTATTGGAATGCTCATGCAATTGTTTGAAATCTTGCAGGGCAAAATAACATTGAAGAGAACTCTTCGAGATATGGCGCGTGAGTTATCGCAGTCAACGGGTTCTTTGCCTTCTTCCACGTCAGACAGTATGAGCACGAAGAGTGACCAGTCACGCAGTGTGTCAAGTCTTATTGTGAATGGAGGTGAGTATTAACCTAACTCCCCTCGTAGTTAGTGAATTGGGTCGTTTTAGTGAGGGATCCTTGGCTGCAAGATAACACTCCAATCATATCCTCTTTTTGGGGGGGGCGGGGGAGGGGTGGGAAAGAACTGAAACTTTGAGATGTTATTCAGATACAATTCTGGCAACAAGGGGGTATTAAGATATATTTATGTAACTGTTCGTGTTGTTCTAATGGGTCTAATGCTGTGCTCTAGTATAGGAGCTAAGGCCATTTGCCTCAGGACGACTCTCTATCTCTGCTTTTCTGACACTCTTAAGGGCTGGGCACCTTGAATTTTTTTTTCCTTTCCTGAGAGCTGGGCGCCTTAAATTTTTTCAGATAAATCCCATTAGGTACCTAGTGGTTCTGCGAAGCAAAGAGCTTTGCTTTGGTGCTGAATATGTCAATCCATTGGATTTATGCTTAGCGTTCTCTGATTTTCACAGGGGAGAATGTATCGTCGCTTTCCAAAGCCGCTGAGCGCGAGATGTTAACAGCTCTGACAGCGAGGAAAGAGGCTCTCTTGGAGAAACTAAAAGAAAGGACGGAAGAACTAAAATCCTTGTGTGTGCAGGAAGCGGTAGGAAGTGATAAACATACAACTTCTCCTTACAATTTCCATACATAATATCGCAACCATGTTGTGAGAATTGGTCGTCAGTTAGAGGATTTTCTTGTGGTAGACCTTATTACAATTGATTATCATAAAACCAAAACTAACATAATCACGACGGCAAATGAGAGGAAAGGAAAATACTACCAGCGGCCAATGAGAACGTGGATGTAAAACAGGCAAAGCGCGGGAAAACTCGGGAGACCAAGGTGCGGTTAGTTTCAGATTAGAATCTGATTGGTTGAAAGGATGGCGTGAGTTTTCTGGACCAATCTTAAGGCAAAGTAAAGCAAAACCATCGCACACCAGGGTTACTTTCGGTAAGCTATGAAGATATGTATGGCAGATAGAGAAGAGAAATGGTGATCAGATGCCAGAGGTTATAACGTTGTAAAGCAAATTTTACATACCCCTGACATGTTGATAGTTATTGTCCGACAACCTCTTTCAGGAATTAATCGGAGAGTACCCCCCGGAGACGCCCTATACACCAGGGAGCCCCCTTCCACCAATCAGACGGAGAGTAGGAACTGCCTTTGAATTTTCCGAGTTTATCATTAGCGGAGAAAAGGACGAGGTAATTTTTTTTTTTTTTTTTGTGAGATGTTCTATCGGAAAGAGTTTTATGACTGTAATCCACCGCCTACAAAGGTGAAAATCTCATTGATTATTGATTTTTATCAAGAACAAAATAGGTGCCAGAGCTACTGATCTCCCTTTAATTATAATGAAATGACAGAATATTTTTAAAGATGCAAACTACATGTACTTGCAATTCAATTGCGAGACATTCCTTAGTGCTGTTACGCTATCAACCAACTTTGTTTCGTCACTCCCAACTTTCTCCGAGTACATTTCCCACATAGAACTTAGGGCTGTTACGCTTATCCTTCAACTTTGTTTCGTCACTCCCAACTTTCCCCGATTGCAGTTCCTACGTAGAACTCTGACTGTTTTGTCTTCTGATTCTTAGTATTCTATAATTGTTTTTCCCTGACCAGGACGAGGAAATCAAGTCTATGGCGAGAGAGATTGAAATTCAGTCACAGATAACAACCGCCGCACAGGTATGGAGGGCATCCTGAATGTTTTGATATTCCTCCTTCTATTTTGAGGTGATTTAGTAATTTTGATGTTGTACTGTGCTTACCCTTGCTTCACTTTTTCCGGCACGATTCTAGAAACTCGCCGAAGACCGCAGCGTAAACAAGAACGTAAGGAAAACAAGGAAGTTAACGTATCAAAAGTCATTGAGGAGGGTGAGAACAATGGATGCGTGAATCCCTTTTTGTGCTTTTTTTTCTTCTTCTTTCTCCCGCCGATTCCTGTCGCGTCTTACTAACGGTACTAGCGGCCACATCTGCTCATTAAAATAAAAGAATTTTTAGAACACCCAAAAGACCAATTACTCTGGAACGTGAATTTCTTTTATTCCATTAATCAATAAGGCCTTCAGTCACGCGATTGAATTCGCTTTTACACACGAAGAACCACTTGTTGGTTTCCCGCAAGAGGAGCAGGGGTTTAAAACGCCCATGTGTCTTGGTTTGTCCATTTATTGCGCCATAATCTTTCCCATTTGTTCTCAAATCAAATAACTGAACTCTTTTTGTGTTATTGCAGCTCAAAGACATGGAAAGTAATCTTGAAACACTGAAGAGGAGTCGATCGGCTGTGGACATCAACCACGGTAATGGCCATCATAATTTAGCTTGTTCCTAATAAGGTTAGTTTCTTTTTCTTGCAACATAAACCGTACGTGACACAAGCATTCGTTTCTGTCATTCGCGCATCGTGCCTGTAGAATATTCAGAAAGGCTTAATTGTTGGTGAGGTCTGCTTTGACTCGCACACGGGCGGCTTTGCTAAGATCTTTCTGCCTTTCCTTACATTAACAAAGCTGTTATGTTGCATAGGCCAAGTTGTGTTGCACATAACGATACTAGTGTTGTGTCATGTACCTTGGGTGTAACGTCACTTGAGTTGGCGAATGGTTTTAGCTGTTTTCGTGGTAGATATAGTTATTGCTAAATGAGTGATTCAGATTCTCGCCTAACCAAGTCCACATTTTATTTCGTAGATGAAGGAGATAACAGGACCGGAGAAGGTGAGGCATAGCAGTGACTTCTGTAGCTGATTTTCTGTATTGAAAACAAAATTTGGTTTTATTAGCTGAGTTGATAACGTTTCGAACGTTTGCCATTCGTCAGAGCGTAGGGGAGGCACAGGTTGAAAACCCCATCGAAGTCGGAAATCTTTCGTCGGACCCTGCTTTCTTCAATTTATGTACTTTCCAAGTTTTCTCTTTGATCATATTCCTTTTTTTTCCATCAGGTTTATATCGCGCAAATTCGACGGCCAACGGTCCCAGCTACTCCCAAACAGAACGGCTTAGTCCTCACCGCTACCGAACAAGTGTTAACCTTAGTGTTGGAAGAAAGGGAAGTACAGTCAGTTCGGAAAGTTTTCATGATAGAGACTCGGTCGATAGGGGGTCCTACAGCGGACCTCCCTCCCCAGTGATATCGCCGTATAGAAAAACACCCCCGAGCCCCACCGCAAGGTCTTATCATGGGTCCTCGGAGACAAGACGACAATATAGTCCACTAGCTAACGGTCCCCGTGCGGGAAGGTTATCTCCCCGGGGGGAAAACAACCGTTCTGTGCCGGCGTTTCAATATTCGGATAGTGACACTAGAAGCGACTCTTCCACGAAGCCATCGTCGGTGAGTTCGTACGCGAACTCGGAAGAAAACGGAGATAACATTGAGCCTTACTGGCATCAGCGGAGAATTGGGAATTCTTGCGAGAGTCTGGACGGGAATCACGTTCGAGGACCAAGTCCCCGGATGTTTGTGAATCGTTCCGCGGAACAGAGTTCAGAAAGTCTCAACAGCGACCACGAGGGGAGTTCCTCTCCGTTTAGTCCTGTGCGCAATTATCGATCATTTTCGTTTAGCGCTCGCCCATCGAACTTGAAAATTCCTACCGTTAAGTATTTGAACACCAGTGAATTGGGAATAATAAGTAATTCAGGTACTGCTGGAAGTTATTCAGTGAATCACACTTCACGGTTGTCTCCCAATCTCGCCAGCAAAGGGTATATCTCTACATCTATGTCGAAAATTGATCTACCTCCGCCGTCGTTGTCAAATATGAATTTGAGGACAGCTAGATCCCAGGTTAATATGTCGACGATACCTTATCTGATAAGTCCAGGTTACCATCGGAAAAATCAACTCTCAGAGTTGTCCATATACGAGGAAGACCTGCTTGAATGGAGAGCGAATGACGACTCGGAAGCTACATTAGTGTAAGATCAAGAACGAAAAGTAATCGATTCTCCATCGCCGATTTCTCCAAACTTCACATTGGATAGAGAGTGAAGCTGATGAAATGGAGCATCAGTAAATATATTGGACACCAGGTTACTGTTATCTGACGGGTGATAACAGTTCAGAGAGCTGCTGTCAAGGAGATTGCACATGAAGGAAACTTTAATTCATTTTACACAGTTTGTGTTCGATAGGTGATAGTATTTAGTGCAAATTGACAAAAATGCAACCTAGGTCTATTTTTGATGGTACCCTTCTCAAATGTTTTTCTTTAACATGGCTATTTGATTAATTTTTAACGTGGTTATTATTCCACAAAATAACAAGTCTCGGTAGAAAAGCAGGGGGGGGGGCGAATTTTTTCCTATCGTAAACGGACAAAATCGTTCGAAAATACTCTGAAAGGTGAAATTTGTAATTTTTTCTTTTGGACTAAAAGATCGTAATGATTTTTTTATACATGTATATTCTTTGTAAGTAGTATTACTGAGACGGGTTATTTCATTTGGTCAATTATTTTGTTTTTCAAAACGCAAAGTGGAATGAAAGCCTGAGTGCCAGACGGGAACATCTCATTGCGTCAATTATGTTATCGTTATCTAAACTTCTCAGTTAAGACTATTTTTGGCTAAACCTTAGACTAGAATTTTATATATATATATTTTTTTTTTACTTCAACGTGCACTCAACCAACGTGGCCTTAGACTGGATTGAGAGTGGGAAATGAACGCTCATACACACAGACACAACCGAGTGTCGAGGTTAAAAGGAATTGCTATGGGTTGCTTTTACATGCTTTGATTGGTGTAAAACACTCGTGGCACTATTGCAAACCGGTCACGCTCATATCCCACGCTTTCTTAACTTGTTTTTTTCTCCGTTGTTATTGGCCCATATATGTTCTCCACCACCACTGAATGGTTAATTTTCTCCCGTCATGCATCAGTGACATTTAATTGAAATTATCAGTCTAGGAATTACGTCTTTATTTACTAGTCCTTCACATCCCTATGGGATTACGACCTGCTTTCTAGGTCGCTTCTGGATATTTATTTGAAGCAATTCGCGAAATATTCCACGTTATAGATTGGGTTACTAAATTGAATTTCGTGAGCGCTGTAAAGTATGGATTAAAGAAAAGAAAAGTTGTTATTCGTAAGAGAACATGTAAATACTGAATGAAAATACTTATCATTTTAACTAATAGCATTTTTTAAATCACAGAATATACCAGTTTTATTATATTCACAGGAATGTTTCAATAAATAGCAAAATTATAAAGATCTCTTTGTCGATAATTTGAAGTGGACTTTTTTGCCGGGACCTCTCATCATGACACCATGTAAAGAAACGAGCCGGTGTGCCTTCCTGGGGACGAGGGTGGCATAATTACCTATTGCAGGCTTATTGCGGGGGATGTTAGTTCGTCGAAATTTTTCTCAGTCTTTTTGTCTTTATTACGTCCTTCTTTGCTTGGGAATGCGAGGCTTATGGGAGTGGAACCTGTGGCTAAGACTAAAACATATCCATATCTTACGAATTAATGTATGTTTTGGGAAGGATCCACCATACTTTCAAAAAGACGTTACGAGGGACACTAAGGAATATGTTTTCTGGATTATGGATTATGGTTTGTAAAGACTACTTTTAGATTTCGCATCTTCCATCGTTTGTCGATGGAAATAGGACGCTTACTGAAAAGAAATGCGTGTGACAGTGAAAGAAAAAATGAAAAATGTTTGCCAAGCGTACATGTGGTAGTGCTGCAAAGGCCACAGTATGACCTGGTCTTGTCTTGTTTGATATGGTGCCATGTTGCTTGACTTAACCTGTGTCAGATAACCTGGTTTCCCTTCTTGTGTTCTTTCAGAAGAGTCAAGTTGTCCTCGCATCATATATGGTGCCAGAAGAATATAACCTCAACTTCATAAAACATTCTGCTGTTTTTATCTTCAGGGGGTCTGTTATGAATGACACTCCGAGGTGTCGTCTTGTGGTCAAAACGTGACCCTTATTTGGAGTGAACCAAATTTACTGCCAAATATAAAAAAATACACAGAAATCTAAAAGTATAACATAGAAGAAGGCATTCCAAGTTTCTTATTGGGGGCCGCTCACGGTATTTCAATACGTCGGTAAAACGGTATTGCATTTAAACCCTGTCATTTACTTTATGCACTAAAAGTTCCTGGAGATGATTCGGTTTAACAGAGATTTGATTGGTGCTTTTCGTTCCTTCTCGCATAAAAAGTGAACCGTAAAGCTACTACTCTTGCACAACATTAATGAGTGTCAGCAAAACTTCACGAAAGCAAATTAAGCCTCGAGTTTTTGGCGAGTTGATGTGCATGCGCACTCCATTAATTACGAGTCATGATATTCATAAGGAGCCGCGTACCACATGTCTTTAAGCGTTGCGTTTAAAATAATGTTGACGTTCTTCATCCTCATCGTTCGCTCCGATTCTCCTTCAAATTGCGCATTAATCTTTCGCCTTTTACTAAAGATTACCGTGGAGGAGAACAACTGAAGGAGTCTTACAACCAATTTTTCGTTGCCCCGCCTTCTGGCGGGGCTATTAAATTGAAAAATGTACTAGAACATAAATAAATTGGCCTAAGCAAACAGCAGTTTACAGTTCAACGCCTCACTATTAGTCACCTCGCACCCTCGTCACCCGCAACGCCTCACTGTTAGTCATTACTTGAAAAGCATGCTGTAATACGTACAGACAGGTTCAACTTACATAGCTCGAATCATGTTAAATTGACATGATTCACTATAACCATCTGTGGAGCAGAGCAAATGAATGAGTCCTTCACACTATTTATGATCGCCCTGTATGTTGATAAGGCTCCAAAAGTAAGAATGGACCCAAGTTCCTGAAATCTTTTTTTCGGGGTCGTTGTCATCGTTTTCTTGAAAAAATTTTATCTATTGCCAGACACCACCCGTGCTTATACTTAAACTTTGTGTTTCATACAACTTCAAGGCTTTCACTTTCACTTTAGTGCGCAACCGCAATAATGATAAAAATCAACCCCACTTGCATAAGCGAGTTATCCACGGCATACCGCTGTTACTTACCACTCAAATTTCACTCTGGTTTTCCTTCATCACGCACAAATCTTTCGCCTTTTACTAAAGATTTCCGTGGAGGAGAACAGTTGAATGAGTCTGTAGACCAATTTTTTTCGCCCTGCCTTACGGCGGGGCCATCTAAAGAAGCGGAACCAATGTAAACAGAGTTTAGGATAATTCATAAGGGTCTTATGAGTGACCACCGGCAGTTGAGAGACCGATGAACTCTCTCTGACGACGCTCGCAGAAGTGAAGATCTTCGTCAGCCTAAGTCACTTGCGAAATTTGCAGAGGCGAAAATAGCAGATTTTGATGCGCAAATGCATAAATCAGTTGAATGAGTCTATATACCAAATTTTTCGTCGTTTTATCTTGTGGTGAGGCCACCTGAGTGAAGTGGAAGATGTGAAAACGGTGCATATTTGTGATAAACTCAATAGTCAACACAAACAACTAAATGCCCAATAAACCCTCTTTGATGGCACTAACGGAAATTTAAATCTGGTGCAAGCTAAAACACATGCAAAATTTGCTCAAACCATAGTATTACTCTTCTCCACAAAGAGCACATAAGGCATCCAAGCGAACAACGATATCGAACCATCTGATCTCTAGGAAATAAAGAACGGGATGAGTTTATTGTTACTCCCTTGGGATATCTTAAGTTTTTCTCCCTAAGGGACCTTAGACTGGTTTGTATCGGAAGGAAAATTGATTATTTTACAAAATTTAGGCGCGCAGGAGCACCTGGCAGACTCGGTGCCTTTAATCTGACATCAAACAATATCCCGGTAATTGACGCAAAGATCATTTTGACAGAAACCTCAGACTTTCTTTTAAGTCGTTTTTTGAACCTAATGGACGTCGAGCACGCCGTTCCAACGTGAAAGCCCGAATGATGCAAGAAACCCCCTTAGCGAAGGAAGTCTCTATACTCTGGCCAAAGGCCATCTTGCACAATAATCCATCATACCGTTTCTCGTCTGCAAGGACAATTTCCCCCTCTTTGGCCACCTTACCAGCAACTTTCGCCTAAATCACACCAACTTCACTTAAGGTGCATACTTATGTCGCGGGAACTATAATTTCCAACTATGAGATGGTTTTGACTGGTGCATCGATAAATTTTTTAGGTTTTCAGTGGAGAAGAGCAAGTTAATGAGAGCTCTAAGCTTTTGTTGTGTCGCCTGTCCTTTGGTGGAACTCCATAAGTAAAATAGAGCTGAGAAGAGAGGAAACAAGCGTCTACAAACATTACTTTAAACGAGATCGCTCCCATAGTTTTCCTAGAAAACGTTATTCATCGCCAGACACGGCCTGTGGTTGTAAGAAAATTTTGTGCTTCGCATAATTTTTTATAGATATTGTAATTTAGTGCGCAGGCGCGTAAATGATAAATGCAAACCCCACTTGCGTTAGCGAGTCATCTTCGACATACCGCTGGATTAACAAATTAGGAAAATCGCTCTGGTTTTCCTTCATCACGCACAAATCTTTCGCCTTTTACTAAAGATTTCCGTGGAGGAGAACACTCGAATGAGTCTGTAAACCAATTTTTTGTTGCCCTGCCTTGAGGCGGGGCCATCATGAGAAGTGAAATTAGTTTTTGATGCAAACTCGTGATAGCCATGCACAATATTTCTTCTTAAGCTTTATAGGGATCAGAAGAGGGCATTACTTACTATCAAAAAATTTCAGCGCGGGAGCACTAAGCGGATTCGGCGCCTCTGATCTGATGCCAAACAGTTGGGGAAAAGGATTATCATAGGACAACCTTCAAGCCTGTGGACTAGAAGCGTGCTGGTCGAACTTGAAATCACGAAGGATGCAAGAAACCACGTGGGCTAACGAAAGAACAAAATAAATAAATTCATCAGTGACCAACGGCGGTTGAAGGATCGTCGAACCCGCTCTGACGTCGCTTGTGGGAGTCAAAATCTGTAGCAAGCTCAGTCAGATGCGAAATTTGTAGAGACGAAAAAAGTAGACTCCATTATTGTGCAAGATCATCTTTAGGCAGGAATGAGAGACCAATCTCTCGACGGCTAAAATTCCTTCACTAGTGCATGTGGCTTCTTACATCTTTCAGACTCTAAACAAACATCCTAGAAGTCCACAAGACTGAAACAAGACGTGGCAGATCGGCGAAAACCCCAATCGCCGCACCGGACACACCTGGCGTAAAAAATCGCCAAGTGTGTCGCCGGCTCTAGATCGATCTTTGCGCCGAACGCCGCCTCGCCGTTTGGTATGAGATCAGAGGCGCCGAGTCCGCAAAGCCCTCCCACGCGCTGAATTGTCTTTAAGACGCAAGACGCCTGAAAATAAATTCATCCCTATTGTTATTTCTCAGACATCAGGTTATTCAGTGTTGTTCATTTAAATATCATTGCAGTACGTTCATTTCAACTGGGAACATGGTAGGTATAATGTTCCCTACATTGCACACATTGAAGAGATTTACGCCATGGAAAGAAGGAAAAAGAAATAAACCTCCCCTCTCTCCGCAGGTTTAAGTCTTCTCGACTTTGCCTTTTTTTTTTCCTCTAAAAATTTTGCAAGTGACTGAGCTAGCTGCAGATGTTAGCTCCCTAAAGCAACCTCTTGAACTGCTAGTGGTTGATCACGAATTGAGATCCATGAAAACTTTATCCATTTCACTAAGGGGCCCCGCCGCTAAGCAGGGCGATGAAAAATTGGTCTATAGACTCATACAACTGTTCCCCTCCATGGAAATCTTTAGTAAAAGGCGAAAGATTTGTGCGTTATGAAGGAAAACCAGAGTTATCTGTAAGAGGGATGTAAAAGCAGTATGTCGAGGATGACTCGCTCACGCAAGTGGGGTTTATATTTATCCTTAATGCGCGTGCGCAACAAGATATGTGAGAGCCTTGAAGTTTAAAGAAACACCGTCAGGCAGTGTCAAGTAATGTTTATAGACACGTGGTCCCTTTCTTCTAAAATTATTTCATTTATGAAATGGAGCCCCTTACGACATGTAGGGTGACGAATTGATAGTCTAAAATACTCATTTATTTCCTCCTCTCGACGGAAATCTTTCATTGAAAATCGAAAGTACCAGTTAGCGTAACATATTCGAGCTACAGCAATTGGAACGTAGTCGTACGTCTTACAATATGCATATCAAATGGTAGGGCGTTGAACTGCTTCCCTGTAACGAGGAAAA